CTCGGCTGACACAACATCTTTGTTGGTATGTGGTGCTGAGGATCGAACCCGGGCCACACGCATGCCAGGCGAGCGCGCTACCATTTGAGCCACATCCCCAGCCCCATAATTGCTTTTTCTATTTCTATGAGGAATGCCATTGGGATTTTGATCAGAATTGCATTGAACCTGTATAGTGCTTTTGGTAATATGGTCATTTTAATAATATTAATGCTGCCTATCCATGAGCAAGGTAGATCTTTGCATTTTGTAAGGTCTTCTTCTATTTCTCTCTTTAGGGTTCTATAGTTTTCATTGTATAGATCTTTCACCTCTTTTGTTAAGTTGATTCCCAATTATTTTATTTTATTTTATTTTTTGAGGATATTGTGAATGGGGTAGTTTTCCTCATTTCCTTTTTAGAGGATTTGTCACTGATATACAGGAATGCCTTTGATTTATGGGTGTTGATTTTATATCCTGCCACTTTTCTGAATTCATTTACTAGTTCTAAAAGTTTCTTGGTAGACTTTCTTGGGTCTTCTAGGTATAGAATCATATCATCAGCAAATAGTGCTAGTTTAAGTTTTTCTTTTCTTATGGTTAGTCCTTTAATTTCTTTTGTCTGTCTAATAGCTCTGGCCAGTGTTTCAAGAACTATGTTGAATAGAAGTGGTGAGAGAGGGCATCCCCGTCTTGTTCCAGATTTTAGAGGGAATGCCTTCAGTTTTTCTCTGTTTAGAATGATGCTGGCCTGGGGCTTAGCGTAGTTAGCTTTTACAATATTGAGATAAGTTCCTGTTATCCCTTAGTTTTTCTAGTGTTTTGAACATAAAGGGTGCTGTACTTTGTCGAATGCTTTTTCTGCGTCTATGGAGATGATCATATGGTTCTTATCTTTAAGTCTATTGATGTGATGAATTACATTTATTGATTTCTATATGTTGAACGAAGCTTGCATCCCAGAGATGAATCCTACTTGATCATTGTGCATGATCTTTTTGATATGTTTTTGTATCCTATTTGCCAGAATTTTACTGAGGATTTTTCCATCTATATTCATTGGAGATATTGGTCTGAAGTTTTCTTTCTTTGAGGTGTCTTTGTCTGGTTTTGGAATCAGGGTGATATTGGCCTCATAGAATGAGTTTGGAAGTACTCCCTCTTTTTCTGTTTCCTGAAATAGATTGATCAATATTGGTGTTAGTTCTTCTTTAAAGGTCTCGTAAAACTCAGCTGTATATCTGTCCGGTCCTGGGCTTTTCTTGGTTGGTAATTTTTTGATGGCTTCTTCTATTTCCTCACTTGATATTGGTCTGTTTAAGTTGTATATATCTTCCTGACTCAATCTGGGCAGATCATATGACTTAAGGAATTTATCGATGCCTTCACTATCTTCTATTTAATAAATTAGAGTATAAGGTTTCAAAATAATTTCTAATTATCTTCTCTATTTCTGTGTTGTCTGTTGTGATATTGCCTTTTTCATCCTGTATGCTTGTAATTTGGGCTCTCTCTCTTCTTCTCTTCATTAGCATGGCTAAGGGTCTGTCATTCTTATTTATTTTTTCAAAGAACCAACTTTTAGTTTTGTCAATTTTTTCAAATATTTCTTTTGTTTTGACTTCATTGATTTCAGCTCTGATTTTAATTATTTCTTGACTTCTACTGCATTTGCTGCTGATTTGTTCTTTTTCTAGGGCTTTGAGATGTAGTCTGAGGTCATTTATTTGTTGGCTTTTTCTTCTTTTAAGGAATGAACTCCATGCAATGAATTTTCCTCTTAATACTACTTTCATAGTGTCCTAGAGATTTTGATATGTTGTGTCTTTGTTTTCATTTACCTCTAAGAATTTTTTAATTTCCTTCTTGATGTCTTCTGTAACCTATTGTTCATTCAATAGCATATTGTTCATTCTCCATGTGATGTAGGAATTTTTCTTCCTTATTTTATCATTGATTTCCAATTTCATTTCATTATGATCAGATAAAATGCATGGTAATATCTCTACTCCTTTGTATTTGCTAAGAGTTGCCCTTTGGCATAATATATGGTCTATTTTTGAGAAGGATCTATGTGCTGCTGAGAAAAAAAAGTGTTTGTCTGCGTGATATTGGTTGATATATTCTACATGTGTCAATTAAGTCTAAGTTATTAATTGTGCTATTGAGTTCTATAGTTTCTTTATTCAACATTTGTTTGGAAGATCTGTTCAGTGGTGAGAGAGGTGTGTTAAAATCTCCCATGATTATTGTGTTGTGGTCTATTTGACTCTTGAACTTGAGAAGAGTTTGTTTGATGAACATAGCTGCACCATTGTTTGGGGCATATATATTAATGATTGTTACATCTTGTTGGTGAATGGTTCCCTTGAGCAGTATGTAGTGTCCTTCTTTATCCCTTTTGATTAACTTTGGCTTGAAGTCTATTTTATTTGATATGAGTATGGACACCCCTGCTTGCTTCCAAGGTCCATGTGAGTGGTATGATTTTTCCCAACCTTTCACCTTGTTGTTTATATGTCTTTTCCTATCAGATGAGTCTCCTGTAGGCAGCATATTGTTGGATCTTTTTTTTTTTAAATCCAGTCTACACTGGGTAGAAATCTTTAGCTGAAAGCTGATTAATCTGGAGAATCCAAGATGACTTCATTCATATGCCTGTTACTTCAGTTGGGCCAGTTGGAAGGAAATTTGGATTCATCTCGGACTCCTTTCCATCCTGTCTCACTAGCAGGGTATAGTTGAAATTCTTACTTTCTTGGGACTCCAAGAGCAAAATATTTCAAGAGATGGAAAATGTAACTATTAGCCCCCTGGCCTGAGTGACACTGGCACAGGTCTATTCTACTCTTTCCACTGGTGAAAGGCATAACGCAGTTTAGTAGAGAAAAGGAAGGGAGCCACATAGAACATGCTGAGGGTGAAAACCTAATGTAATGATTATACAAATGTATTTGCCCATTGGGCTCTTCACCTGTCTACAGAAAGAGATGTGCAATAATCTTTAATTTTCTGCACATGTACATGTTGCTTTCTTTTTAGACTGTGGGAAAAATAGCTGTCAAAAAGTCATAGGTTTTTGAGCCATAAGAGACATTCGTCCTAGTCTAAGATTCTCCATGCTCTATAATTTTTTTTTTTAAGAAATTAAAAGAAAATTGTAGGGAATGGTTCACATGCCTGTAGTCCCAATTACTTGGGAGGCTAATGTGGGATGATCAATTGATTCCAGGAGTTTGAGGTCAGCTTTGGCAACATAGCAAGACCCTGGGTCTGGAAGGAAGGACAGGAGGAGTGGAGGAAGAAGGAAGGAGGAAGTTCAAATGAAGTTAAGTGACTTGTCTTAGCGACTTAATGTAGAAGCAAGTCTTTTGACACTTTTCGTGGACCTCTTTCCAGAGCATATTCATCTCATCCTTGGGTCATTCCAGATAAAAAAAGAAATAAAATGTGTAGAATTTTATTTTTCCACGGAAGACAGTAGATCTTTCAAAGAGATGAAAGAGTTTCAAAAGGGCAGTATATCACAGGGTGATAAGGAGGGTCTTTGATAAGCCTTAATAACTAAGGCCTAATAACTAAGGTATGAATAGAAAAATTACTATAAATATTAACCTTCCACTAATTTACCCTAGAGATTACCATTGGGTATTGTTTTATTTTCATGTTGTCATAGTAGTTCTGAAATTAGTTTTGTACTATTCATGTCTTACCATGTCTTGTAAAAAGTATGCCCAGTATGTAAAATTTTAGTTGTATTTGCATTATATATTTCTGACTTTTAAAAGTAATAATATTGCTTATGAAGGTGAAGTAAAATTATACCTGCTTATGTTTGAAGGAAACCTTTCATTCTATGGAGAAATCAGAGCAAATATCAATATTAGCTTTGTAAATCATCACATGAATTACTTTATTCCTTTGTGCTCCTAATGTTTTCTCAATACTTAAAATTTTGTAAACATTTTAGTTAAATTTGACTGAGATTTTGAGTATAAAACTCAGATCAAGATTTTTTTCTTAAAATACCCTTTAAAGGTTATGCAGTCCTCCATCAAGGTCATTTAGGTTTATGAGTCACATGATGCCTCCCAATCTTGTTGCTGTAAGAAGTCCCTTGCATTTTCAAATTTCTGTGACCTCAGAGTAAATGCTGATGTCTGGAGACCTAACATGATGATAATACACATGTATTTGTGCATTAATTTATTCTGTGATTTTACAAACCCAAATTAAATTTTGGGGGTGATAAAATTTCACAGCCCTCTTTCCTGAAATAACTTACTAGTTTTCTTATTAAAATAACTAAATTGAGGAAGAATTAGTCGGTTAATTAGGTAATGGGTAACTATAGGTTCCAGAATGTGTGCTTTAAGCAATAACTAGGTTTTGGCTTACTGTGCCCTGTGAAATTGGTTGGTAACTAGATTATTTTAAAACAAGGTAAGACGCGAGGTAAGGGGCATATCTCAGCAGTAAAGTTCATTCTTAGCACGAAGGATGCCCTGGGTTTAATACCAAGCACCAACCAAAACAAAAACAAAAAGGCAACTCTTAAGTTTTGCTAGCTGCCTTTGAGTAGGGATGTGAATCACTGAGAAATGTAATGACTTTCTTCCAGACTGTTGGTGGTGGAGCAGTACAAGAGAGGGTGCCAGAGTTGGATAGCAGTGGGCCAACAGAGCAGGACAAAAACCATTCTAACAGCAGCACCTTGTCTGACCGAAGACTCAGCAACACCAGCCTTTGTAGCATTGAAGAAGAGTACCGAACAGTGTATGAAATGGTGCAGCGGATTCTCTTGTCAACACGTGGTTATGTCAATTTTGTGAATGAAGTATTTCGCCAGGTTAGTGTGTATTTATGCATGTGTTACCAGTTTATGAAACTGAAGAAATTTTTGTTTTTGCTTGTATTAGCCAGCTTCCTGTTAGTCTAGAAAATACCTGAGACAAATACATTTGAAAAGATAAAAGGCTTATTTTGGCTTATAGTTTTGGAGGTGTTAGTCCATGACCAGTTGGCTCTCTCACTTTATCCCTGTGGCAACACAGTACATTATGGCAAGAGCAGGAGGCAGAGGAGTCCTGTTCACTTCATGGCTGGGTGTGAAAAATAGAGAAAGAGGAAGAGTCCAGGGTCTCACAATCCCCTTTGTAGGCATGACCCTAGTGGTGACTAAAACCTTCCTCCAGGGCACACTTCCTGAAGAGTTTCTACCACCTTCCCATAGTGCCAAACTGCAGACAAAGCTTTTATTTATTTTTTTTTAAATATTTTTTTAGTTGTAGTTGGACACAATACCTTTATTTTTTATTTTTATTTTTTATGTGTTTCTGAGGATCGAACCTAGTGGCTCACACATGCTAGGCAAGCACTCTGCCGCTAAGCCACAACCCTAGCCCCAACAAAGCTTTTATTAAATGCATGGACCTTTGGAAGATATTCCAAATTCATATTGTTTTTTTACTTATAACATTCCAAGAAAGACTGTTGATGAGTTGGGCTGAATTATAGAAGTCAGTAATGATCCATGAAATCCTACTTTTTGTGATCCATAAAAAGGCTTTTTTTGTGATTAAAAAAAAAAAAGTTTTGTTTTTGAAACATTCCTTTATAAGGAAAGAAAACTCAACCAATATCTTAATGTTTCCATAGCAAACTAAATAAACTCAGAGGTAGGTGGTCAGCGCCTGAGTACCCAGAAACAAGTGGACCTAATAACAAAGAGGCTGGTTTGTTCCCAGGGCTTCAGGGAGACCTATAAAATGTACGTTCCTGAGAAAGGAAAAGTACACATGAGAAGTATTTATGGCAAGAGAAAAAGCTGGATGGGGAGGGGAATAAAAGGAGAGAAAGGAGCGCTGAGGCTGAGACATGAAATAGAAACTGATAAATGGAAAGGTGCTGGGAAGAGAAAGTAAACAAGTAAAGAGGTGTAAGCAAGGGAGGGAAGAAATTAGCAGCCACAAGTGACATCAGAGGTTTGCAGCCAGGGCTGATATTGCCCCCTACCCCTTTTGGTTGGGGGACACACTGAGCAATGTCTGGAGACTATTTTGATCATGATAACAGAGAAGGGGTGGTACTGACATGTAGTGGGTAGCAGTCAGAATGTTGTTAAATATTCTGCAATGCACAGAACAGCCCTCATTCTTAATTACCATCACAACAGAGAACTATACAGCCCAACATGGCAGTAGTGCTTTTGTGGAGAAATTCTAAGCTAGAGCCCTCTGACAGAGCAAGGAGAACCCTCCACATGGGTTTTAAATTGCATTTATTGCTCTTTCTTGGTTAATGAGGATTTTTCTTATACAGAAGACAAAATGTGATTTCTTTCATAATAATTTGTTTTTCAATTTTAAATAAAGATATTCAGAAACTATTTAAGTCTAAAGGATATTAAAGTTTAAAATGGACATTCAAGAAATGCATATTTTCAGTTGGGAGATGAGATATATGCATATATACTGCAGAGAATAGTGTGAGATGGTGGAAGATCAGATGTCCCCTTGTTATATGAGATTAAAGGCAGACAGGAAGGTTTGCGGCAGGGGCTAAAGGATCAGGTGGTGCAAGTCACCTGATACAGGATGGTTCAGCAACTTGAAGTAGTAGAAGTAGTAATTGAAGAAAGATGAAATTCAGCAATGTTCAGGATAGCATTCATCTCTCCTACCCCCAATAGGAAAGACAGGCAGTGGTACAGTGCTTAAGTTTGAGCAGTTATGGTCACTGGGTGGATCCACGAGAAACTGTTTTTTTAACTAGAGTTTATCAGTTAGATGAAAAACTGTTGTGCCCCTTTGTATAGGTCATGAAATCAGCTGGGTGAGTTAAATCCAGTTTTATTCTTTAAATAATAAAATAGATCAAAACATTCCACAATGTACTTCATGTTACAAGGATTAGTATTTCTCTGTGAAACATGATTTATTTATGTAATACTCTCTCTATATAGATGCATATATCCTATAACATGCCTTGCTTAGGTAATGATCTGAATAGTTTGAAGCATTGTTCTAAAGGATGTTTATTCATGGGGTTGTTTTGTATATTGATTTTATTTTAAAGAATAATTTTATTAAAAATATGTTCATTAGATAAATATAGTTTATAATTATGGAAGAGAAAGCAAAAACAAATTGCTGAAAACACCACCATCTAAATGATCATCATTAATGTTAGAAGAATATCATTCTAAGTATTTCAGTGTGCGTATGTGTGTTTATTGACCTTGCTATCCAAATAGATGAGACACCTGCAGAGAGCAGCTGGATAATAAATGATGTAAGCAGGTTGGCAGGTGGGCAAGAGGGTGTCAGGGGACCTGAAAGCATAAACATACCAGAAGTCATACATAGAAGATCAGACAGATAAGTGTAAACAGTCCAACTCTCAAGTATGGAATTAAGCAGGTTGGTGGGAAAGTTCAGATAGGAGATGCAAAAAGGCAGACAAGTGCAAATGGACAGATAGGGAAGCAGAGATGAAATGGTCAGGCAACCATGTGCATGGACAGGTAAAAGTGGAACAGGACAGATCTCAACTGAGATCAAGGCGAGGGTAGATAAGTACAAGTGCCAGAGGTCAGGATGGGGACTGAGAAAATATGACAATGGAATCTTTAATTCCTCAAGAGTTTTTTTTTTTGTTGTTTTTTTTTTTTTTTTTTTGTGGCACCAGGGCTGTAATCTGGGAGTGTTCTGTCCCTGAGCTCCATCTGCATCCCTTTTTAAAATTTTAGTTTGAAATTGGGTCTCTCTAAGTGATCCAGGCTGGCCTCAAACTTGTGATCCTCCTGTCTCAGCCTCCCAATTTACTGTGCTTACAGATGTGCACCACGCTGCCTGATTTGGAATAATGTTTTAATTACATGTTATAATTTTAGGTAGCACTATTGAATTCCTGTTATGAAATATGAAATTAGCAGCCTTATATTTTCTTCAGCCCCCTCTCTCCGTCTGCTAACTTTATTATAGTGTAAATTTATCCCATCGTTTGAAATTGATTTTGGAATGTAAAGGTACAGAGTTGTTTAGACTTGGTTCTGGTTTTAGTAGATCATTCTTCTTGGTTCCATAGTTCTAAAATACTTGCTTTGATTGACTTTGTGTTTTGCCTTGATTTGTCATTGAGTATTTTCAATAGGGTGTCTGGAACTCTGTTCCATGAGTTCTTTTAAGATGGCAAATGTTTTTCTTTTGCTTTTAACATGTGATCAGCAGCTGAGCTGGGTTTAATAATATTGGTTTTCTTTCATTTAGGAATTTGTAAGCCAGAACCTTTTTAGGCATACAATTCAGATGCAGGAAAACCTCATAAGGACTTCAGTTATATAATTGAAAGTATAGAATTAGTAGATTTGACATTTTTAAATAATTTAAAGACAAGTTTGAAAATGTTGCAGTAAACAAGAAACTGCAACACATGACCAATTCATATTTGTTCAGGATAAAATAGAATTTCTGAAATGTTGAAAAAAACATGTAATAATTGGAATGTTAAAAGAAAACCTCAGTGGGTAAGTTTAATAGTAGATTAGATGCAGCTCTATGTAATAAAATGGATGAAGAAACTGTTCTGATTTTACCTCAGAGACACAGAAGTGAGAACCGTAAGAGTGAGAGACATGGAGAGTCTAATGAGAATGGCTTATGTATTCTTTTTTGTTTGCTGTTCTAGTTGCTGAGAGTAAACTGTTATGATGATGAATTCCCCTTTTTTCCCCTTGAAAGTCTATCAGTGTTTGCTGTATTTTTGGCAAAACGTTGGCTGCAGTACGAATTTAGAATTGTTGTATGTTCCTCTGGATCGAATTTAAGAAACTTCTAAGAGGCCCTAAGCAACTCAGGGAGACCCTGTTTCTAAATAAAATATTTTAAAAGGGCTGGGGATGTGGCTCAGTGGTTAAGTCCCTTAGAGTTCAATCCCTGGCTTCCCCCTCCCAAAAAAGCAGCTTCTCTCTTTAGTAATGCTTTTTTTTTTTTTTTCATGTTGCCTCAAATTCTTAATATAGCTCTGCCAGTTTTCTTTTGGTTAATGTTCAAATGCTATACGTTTTTCCTTTTGACTTTCAACCTCCCCATGCCCATATGTTTTGGTTATTCTCTTATAAATTATGAATAAATGTTTTTAATTTTTTTTCTTGTGGTACTGGCATTGAACATAGGGCCCCATGCTTGCTAAGTAAGCCCTCTACCACTAAGCTATATCCTCAGCCCTTAAATTGTTTTTTAAATCCAATGTTATAACCTCTGCCTTTTAATTGGAACATTATTACATTCACATGTAACACAGCAACTGCTTCTTTTGGGTTTGTGTGTGGTATATGCCATTTTACTTTTTAATTGTGTTGAGTTCTTTCAGTTTTCATGTTTTTAGTATATCATTTTTCTCCTCTAATTAGATTAGTAGTATTATACTAATTTGTAGTTATTTTAATGATTAACAATATGTATCCCTAACTTAAATTTAGTATTAACTTTAGCATACTTAATAATTTTTAGTTCCATTCATTCCTTCTCAGTTTTCCTGCCTTTGTTATCTATTCAAATTCTATTTTATGTGTAGAATATATATATTCTATGTTTTTAAACTATTGTCAATTCTTTAATTTTTATATTTCAGAAATATTATCATTTTATCCAGTTTTATTCATATATATCATCATATACTTTCCTATCTGCATTTATACAAATCCCTTTTGTTATATTTTATTCCTTCCCTAATCTCTGACTGAGGATAATTTTGGTTCTGCCCAGGGGATAATTTTTTAATATTTACCTTAGTTTATGTGTTTTGGTAACACATTTTTCTTATCTGAAAATGTCTGTATTTTGCTTTCATTTTTGAAGTATATTATTTCTGGGTGTAAATTCTACCATTATTAACTATTTGCTTTCTGAACTTCAAATAATTTTGTTCATTACTGTTCATTGTTTATAACTCATTACTGTTCAGCGGCTTCCACTTGAGAGTTAAGTCATGTGGTCATTACTTTGGAGGAAATGTCTTTTTTCCCTCTTTTTTTTTTTGGTACTGGGGATTGGATCTAGGGCACTTAACCACTGATCTACCTAGCCAATCCTTTATACTTCTTATTTTGAGACAGGGTCTCCCTAAGTTGGTCTCGAACTTCCTGCCTCAGCCTCCCAAAATGCTGGCATTACAGATGTCTGCCACCACACCTGGTCTCTGTCTCCTTTAAAATTCTTGGATTATTTTTTATTTTCATTGCTTTTATGGTAATATGCTTTGTATTCATCTTGTTTTTTTTTTTTGTGTGTGTGTGTGTGTGTGTATGTGATTCTTGAATTTGTGGATTGATACCATTCACTAATTCTGCAAAACTCTCAGCCGTTCTTTCTTCTAATATTATTTTCTTTTTTTTCTTCCTTCAAACCATGCATATAGAGTAACCTTTTCATTGTATTTTCTCTCCAAAAGTGTGCATAAATAAGAAGCAATATCTTTTGTTTTTCCTTGCTTCATTCTGGATATTTTCCTCTGATATTTCTCCAAGTGTTTTCTTCAACTGTGTCCATTTTGTATATGTGGATATACACTAAGTTATTACTTTTGGTTATTTTATTTTAAAGTTTTATTTACTTCAGTTTTTGATACTCTCATTACTTAGATATTCTATGTTTTTAAACTATTATCAATTCTTTAAATTGTGGTTTTGTTTGAATTGACATCTTTGCTCATATTTCTGATTTTTATTAATATGTTATATATGATATTAACCAGGTTGTTCGTAGAAATAATTTTTGGTTTACCATGATTTTATTTTCTTTTAAGGAGTTATTATTTGCTTTCCAGGAGTAGGACAATGTGCCATACTTTTATATTGGACTTGAGTTACATGGTTGTCTATATTTGTCAAAACTGATTCAATAGTTTTCTTAAGATTTTTGCATTTCATTGTTTGTAAATTTTACCTAATAAAGTAATGTTGAGCTCTAGTCAGTGCATGCTGAAGAGTTGATGGATGAAGAGAGTACCAGTGTTTGCAGTTAACTGAAATGCATCAAAAATAAAGTAGATTTAATGAAAGATGTATAAGAGGGGTAGATTCACAGATAAATGTGTGATAAAGCAAATACAGCAGTGTCTTATGGTGGAATCAAAGCAGTGATTATATGAGCATTCACTGTAAAAATCTATATGTGTGAAAATTTTTGTAATAAAAATTCAGGAAGATCATTAGAATGGGATACCCTTGTACTTGGTCATACTGTGTGTGTGTGTGTGTGTGTGTGTGTGTGTGTGTTTTGAGCTTCCTTGAGCTGTACCTCAGGATATTTGATACATTGATACATTATAGTCTTATTATAACACAAACTCCTCTGTTCTAGAATTTGATATGATGTAACCATCATCCATGGAAATTTACAAATTGTATATATGTTATCTTTTTATTTCTGTGACCAAAATACCAGACAAGAACAACTTAGAGAAAAAAAGTTTACTTGGGTGCATGGTTTTAGAGGTCTCAGTCCATAGTCAGTTGACTCCTACTCTGGGCCTGAGGTGGAAGGGCTTGGTGGAGGGAAACTTCTCAGCTCATGGCAGTTGGAAATAAGAGAGCAAGGAGCCAGGGACAAAAATATAATTCTTAAGGGCATGCCCCCAGTGACGTACTTCCTCCAACCATGCTCCACATGCCTGCAGTTACCACTCATTTATCCATTTAAATTATTAATCCATAAAATGGATTAGTCTACAACTCTCATAATCATGTCACTTCTGAACACCCCTATATCAGCAACATGACCTTTTTGGGAGACAGCTCATATCCAAACCATAAAAGCATGCATCCATATTAAAGTGAAATCTGCTTATAATGGCATCCTCTGGCAGGAACCTTAAGATCGCTATTAAAACAAGTCCCAGAGACTTGATATAAAGACCTGAATTTGAGGATTACTAACTTTAGAACCTTTGGAAATTATCTTTAGTACTCTGAGGCTTAGTGTTCTTATCTGTGACATTAAAGCAATTATCAAATTCGGGGTACCTATTTTTCCTACCCACCTTGCATACAAAAATAGCTCTTAAACTTGAAAAGCAAAAGGCAAATGAATTTCTCCTTTAAATCCTATATTTCTGGAATCTGATCACATTAATTCAAAAGCCTTATGTGCAAATATGTAAGGTGGTTCTTTAATACTAAAAAGTGCTTATAAGTATGCATAATGCTAACAAGTGGCCAGTGGCTCTTATTAATAGTGGCAACTGTACTTAGTGTCATTCTGATGTTGAAAGCTGAGAAGAAAGGAAAAGAAGGGGAAAAAAAGGCCAGGAAAACTCAAAGATTAAACAAATAAAGCAAAATAATGATTTGTAGCAGTTGCTAACCCAGGCCAATTCAAGCCATCACTGTGATGTCAATGAACATGTGATAATCAAAAAATCTCTACAGGTATGATTTGGTTATTTTTGTGGAAATATGACTCAGAATATAGAATTTGTTTTTAAACTTCATTATGTTTCCTGGCCCAGTTATGAGAACATCTTCTGTTCTTTGAAAGTTCACACAGAGATGTGTGGACTTTTGTGGTATATTTATTTACAACCTCTATTTCTGAAATTAGTGATGGTCCCTGGAAATGTCTGTTTTGTGATCTGACCTCAGGTAGAGTTAAAGGGAGTTTTCTCTTTTCCTTTCAGGCATTTTTGCTGCCTTCCTGTGAAATAGCTGTAACAAGAAAAGTAGTTCAAGTGTACAGAAAGTGGATCCTGCAGGACAAACCTGTGTTCATGGAGGAACCAGATAAAAAAGATGTTGCCCAAGAAGATGCTGAAAAATTAGGATTTTCAGAGACTGACCACAAGGAGGTAAATTTAGTGCCTGTATTTTTGAGTTGGGAGTATATATATTTTAGCAAAGTAAATCTGCTCAGTCAAGAGTCCCACTTAGTTGGACACAGGCAGGCACAGGCAGGCACTTATGCTGTTTGATGAGTGGACGAGTTCTGTGAGGACTTGCTTCAAAGAGACATCCTCTGTGTTCTGATCTATATCACAGTTGTCTCCTAAACCTCAGGCTAGGGCCATATGCATGGTGTCATTGTTAGTGTTCTAAGAGGGTTGTTTAACAAGCCATCATATTTCACAGGTGAAACTAAAGAAGATACTGCTTTCTCCTCAACTTGTTTAAATAAATAGCATTTGGAGGAACTAAATTTAGAATGTTTTTTTTCAGAATTTTCTTGTGCATTAAACTGTATAAGAAGCAATTGGGTGTTAAACATTTGAAAGGACTAGCCAAATAAATAGCAAGTGTTGCCTGTACCATCAAGAAGGAGCACTGAATGCTGTCCTCCTGAAGGGCTACTGTCCATATTAGATAAAGCAAGAGGTTGGATAAATCTAAAACCATAGGTGCAACCCTTCCTGAAACACAAAAGAAACTTATGTCATATTTATATTTCTGGCATGCTGTTTTGAAACTAATTTAAAATTCTTAATCAGAGCCATATTACTTTTAAATATCTGTATTAATTCCATAATTTTATGTTTCTGAATTGTTGAAATCACTTTAATAACTAGTCATGATATTAAAATGAGTAAGCAAGCAAATAAAATCTGTGTGTTTTAGAGGCCTGTCTCTTTTGCTCCCTCAGGCATTAGACAAACATGACTCATTCCTTCAGCATATACTAAGATATACACTATTTTGGGTGCTAGAAGTAGAGTGGTAAACAAATAGAGATCATATTTTCCTAAACAGAAAAAAAAAATTGCTCTCTCAGAACCTGTTTTCTTGTGAATTTCAGCAGATGTAAGAAAATAAATGTGTTGAGTTGGGGCATAGTTCAGTGGTACAGTGCTTGCCTAGTATGCGCAAGGGCCTGGTTAAATCCCCAGTACTGGAAAAAAAAAATAAACCCAGAAAGAAAAGAAATTAAATGCTCAAACATATGCTTCTTTGCACTTTGTTAATGGATTGTTATTTTCTGAAGGTCTCATCTGAAAATTCTGGTCATAAACGATCTTCCAGTTGGGGACGCACATACTCTTTCACAAGTGCCATGAGCAGAGGATGTGTGACAGAAGAGGACAATACAAATGTGAAAGCTGGTGCCCAGGCTATGTTGCAGGTATGCTACTGACCAGGACAGGAAGACCCCCCTCCCCAGCTGGAGGAATCATTTTGAGAATATTGTTTAGCAGGAATAATATCATATTAAATGTGGTTATATTTTTAGCCACCTGATAGTATTTTACCATTTAGCTTCTAAATTCTTATTCTAATTTTCTATTTAATTTCCTGCTATAATTGTTAAAGTTATTTTTTCCTAGTCAAAAAAGACATGAGAACTGTTTTCAGTTTTATGAGAGGAGTTATTACACAGTAAATGTGAAAATGTCTGAGATTTAAAAGTTTCTTTCAAATACATGGGAGCAGTTACTTGGATGCTAATTTGTAAGGCATGTTTGGTGATTATATATTTTATAAGTAATATTCCTCTTAAAAATTGCCTATATTTATAAAGAACAATGACTAATGTAATAGCTTTTGGCTATATGTCTGAATGAACATGTGAAGTAGAGCCCATACATTTGGAAACATTGGAAAGAGCAGTTTTGGCTCCTTACTTAACTTCCCTAGATCTCAGGACTTTTATTAAAGAAATGGAGATTGGGAGATTATCTCTAAGGTCCTATATAGCTTGAAGGCAATTAGGAGTATAAGTGAAAATATAGGGTACCTCTTATTCCCCTGTTCCCTGGCTCCCTAGCTTTCTTTCGCCCGAGTTTATATCCAGTTGGGCATCCCATGAAGAGGTCAGGCATGGAGTATTTTTAATGTTAATCATTGAATCTGTATATTTATTTTGAAATCCATCCACTAGATGGATTTCAAAATAAATATACAGATAAATACAGATAAATACACTAGAGCCAGAGAAGCACTGTTTGTGTTTTTGTACTGTTGCACATAAAGGAGCCCTAAGAAGGAATATATCTTTAGATAGATGAAGCCGATCTATCCTCATCAGCAGATTGACAACTCACAATATCTGAGATTGATGGGCCACTAGAGTCATCTGCATTTTACTGTGTGTTTCTAAGTAGTAACTCTCTACATAGGAACCAGGGTCATTTTTTCCTGAGATACCCTGCTGGTAAAGGATGGTGAACTTGGGATTTTAATAGTCTAGGGTAGAGCATGGAGTAGTCAGCTGATTATTATGTATATTTTATTTGTAATCTGTTTTATATTATTTTATATTCTACTGCATAATATCTTTATACAGTTAAAAAAAATGTTTCTTGAAGATGTGCAATGTGGTTCATATGGCCTTGTCTGTTTCTGGGCACACTGTTGTTCCTCAAGGTTGACACCTTTCTTGGGTGGTGCTAGCCATGCTCCCCAGGAAGCAGGAGTCCATGTGCCTGGAGAATCAATAAAAAAATCACATAGTTCTGTCATAATCCTGTGTCTGTCCACAGGCTCTCTTTATCTACCTTCCCTCTACTCTAAATTTTTTTCACCTAAATGCAGTGATTCTTGTTTTTCCTTTTTTCTGTTAAGAAGATGTCAAAAAGAAGTCTTCAAATCTTTTATGACTCATAAAATTTTTTAAATTATACCAGTTATATGTAATAGCATTTTTCCTCCTAGGCAAAGTTCTTGAAAGGTGTCTATTGAAGTGATTCTTTTTTTTTTTTTATTGGTTGTTCAAAACATTACAAAGCACATGACATATCATCTTTCATACATTTGATTCAAGTGGGTTATGAACTCCCATTTTCAACCCAAATACAAATTGCAGGATCACATCGGTTACACATTCACATTTTTACATAATGCCATATTATTGAAGTGATTCTAAGGGATGAACTAAAAATGTCTTGAGTATATGTTAGTATCTTGCTTGCCTTATTGAAACAGATATCTTAAAGGTGATTCAATGGTAGGTGATTAATATTATTATCTGTAGGCAAAATTTGTTCAGATGTATATGGCTAATTATATTTTCTAATTATTACATTATTGATTTTTAAGGTATTTCTGACAAATGCTGCAAACGTTTTCTTGCTGGAACCATGTGCTGAAGTTCCCGTGCTCTTAAAAGAACAAGTTGATGCTTGTAAAGCTGTTTTGATTATTTTTAGGCGCATGATAATGGAGCTTACAATGAATAAAAAGACATGGTAAGTTTATTTCAAATTAATTAATATCGTAAAACAGATGTTTCTATTTTTCAGCTTAATTGAAATGTTAAGGTTTCCATTTATTTAATGATGTAACCAAGTTAACAATAAGTTGATAATCAGTCTTTTGGAGCAGTTTCTGTGAATTATGAAGAAGGTAAGTACCCAGTACTTTGATAGTTCATTTATTTTCATTATTCTTTTTAAAAATGCTCTTGAACTAAAAGTAGTCATATTACTTAGTGGTAGGTTTTTCCATTATAAACTGTCATCAAACAGTTTTGTGAAAAAGCAGTGCTTTATAATATCCTTCTTCATAAGTCCTGAAGAGGTTAATTGCCTTGAAACTCTGTAAACTGATTTTTATTGCTTCAATAAAAATGAATAAAATGAATAGCTGATATGTGAATGGGTACAAGTACTACCTGTGTGAGATGGTAAAAATAAAGTAAATAATAAAAGATGCAGGAAAACCTTTACTCCCCTTTCGGGCACAAGGAAAGCACACATGTCTGTTCACATTGTATTCTTCTAGTACTTCTCCTTTGAGGAGGAGTGACTAACAGTCAGTGTTTCATGAAATAGAAAGGATTAATCTGTGATTCAGACTGGCAGCTTGTCACTGTTAGAAAGATTTTTGAAACTGTAGAGCTTTTCATGGCCACTTTCTTCCAGAAAAGTTTGCATGGAAATTCCATGGCTCTCCAAGCTTTCATAGGTTCCTAAATTGAATTCACTCTGTGTCTTTATCAGCCGTTGCTTCAGTCAGTTTCATACTTTCTAACAGCAATTCCCTTCACCAAGGTTTTATCTGAAACTGGGCCTATCTATCTCTTATTCTCATCATATTTGCATGATGGGCATGTGACTACTTGTGTAGAAGGAATTGTTTTCCATTGTCTTAAGCATTATATGATATGAGCAGTCAAGACTCACTTGATAGGGGTCTAGGTACCCTAACTACTTAGCAACAGGGTGTCCCCAGCTCTGACATTTATTCTCCTAACTGTCCTCTTCAGAGTTGCTGTGCCTAGATCTTACGTGACTTGGCTACTCTTCCTTCTCTATGCTTCCAGAGTTCAGAGGCAGTCTATAGGAATAAGAAAACACGTAGATTAGAGTGCAGTGAGAATGTATGCCAACAAATAACTTCAGGACTGAAATCAAATTGGGCCAGTACAAAGAAGGCAATAAATCTCCGGAAGTCATTGATACTATAAGAAGTTTAATGAGATTCAACATCGTGTGTTGTTAAGAGTAAATGCTGTCCTGTTACATAGAGATAGAAGAAAAGTATCAAGAAATTATAGTTTAGAGATCTCTTTTTCTGATCATGATTACTCTTCCCATTCTTGGTTTTATCACTAAGGAGTTTTAAGGCCAAGGAGAAAGTAGTAAAGACAAATGAATGGTTAGTGTAAAAACCTCACAGATATCGAGTGATTTCCCCCAGAGAACAAATGGACCCAACCTATACACAGAAGGTAATGTGTTTTCTGTTCCCACAGAATCCAGAAAAAGAAAACTCAAGCAGACACTTTAATGTGAAGAATATAATTTAGCTGTAAGAAAGAAAAATGCCCTTTGGCATTTTCCTAAAACACTGTTTATCGTAATTAACAGCATTATGTAGTGTTTTCTACTGTTCCAAGACTTTTTTTTTTTGGTACTGGCAATTGAACCTAGGGCCTTACACATGCTAGGCAAGCACTCTACCACTTAACCACATCCCCAGCCCACTTCTAAGAATTTTTACAAAGCCCCTTCTTTAAGATACTTTAAAAATGCTGGCACATTGTGATTGAGATGTTGTGACTGTAGTTGTCCCAACTGTCAGGATTTTTTTGGGCACAAGCACAGTGCCCAYTAGTGTCCAGCCATGGCCTTTCCATGCTCTTCCTCCTTGCAAGAGGACTATGAAGCTGAATTGTGCTATGGTGCTCACTGTATGTGTCCCTGGAGTGAAGACCAACCAGAAAGTCAGTTTTATATTCTATCACAAAACAGGTGGGGAGACCTTTTATGTTAAATAAAACAATGGATGGGAAATTAAACAGTGCTACATAAGTTCAGACTGGCACAGCTATTCCCTAAGTGCCCTTAAGGCTCTAGTACAGTTGTAGAAAAACCATCTTGACTCCCTTTCTGCAGTGGGAAAAAATCAGGGTAGGAAGATGTCTGTTTTATCCTGCCTATTGGTGTGGATGTGGGAGGCATGTTTTTAGAACTGTTGTAACATAAAATAGCTTATTTTATGATATTTTAATGTAATTGGCATGTAGACTTAGTACTTTTGAATAATATATGATTATTAATGTTGTTGAATTCTTAAGAGAATTTCTCATATCTATGAATTAAAGTGCTTGGTAGATGTGATTATTAATATGAGCTTTTATTTTGGGTGGCCCAGGGAGCAGATGTTGCAAATACTACTCAGGATAACAGAAGCTGTCATGCAGAAGCCAAAGGATAAACAAATAAAGGACTTGTTTGCCCAGAGCTTGGCAGGGTTACTATTTAGGGTAAGTGTTTTATATTAAAATACTGCAAATGCAAGAAATGAATCAGATTTTACAGAAAATTAGTTTTAATCATTGGGTATTTTAAGAATTTTCATTATTAAATTAATTTTGAATTTTAGGAACATTCCTTCTTAACTGTGTCCTAAATTTTGTGGTCTATTCTTTGCAATTAATGCTGGCTTTCCTACCTCTATGCCATCTAATTCCTCTTGATTTGCTCAAAGGTGATAGAAATTAAGAAAGTAACAAGCACTCAGAACCTTGGTGGTGGATCAAATAGGCGTGGAGGTACAGAAATGTATGGAATGGAATAAAAACTTGAGAACCATCCATGTGTTAGACAATTGTATTTAAAGCCACATAACTGAATAGAGTCACCTAAGGAGAAAATACATGTCATAGAGAGAAGGGGACCAGAAGAGGGCCTCTCCACAGTTGAGAGAAGAGGGAGCCACTCAGATGCTGAGAAAGGATGGCCAGTGGGCCATGAGGAGGCCCAGAAGAGTGTGTGCCTTGGCCTTGGATGCCTAGAAAGAGAAAAGCAGTCAGTTGACTGCTAGCTTTGTCAAGATGAAGGTTGCTAAGAATGTTCTAAGGGAATGAGGTGTACTTAGAGTAGATGGAGGTGAAAATGAGAGCCAATTAGTGGGGCAGTCGCGTACTGTAGCATAGTCGATATTTATATGGTACATAGAATTTATGAACATTTCTGAAACAGTGTGAAAGGGCTCTGGAAATATGGGACATTCTACACAAATACAGGTATTGGTACAAAGGGTAGATCGGACATTGAATAATTTGTTAAGAGGAAGCATGGTGGGTCATGACCTGGAGTGATGATTGCAGGGAGGAGCAAGTAGTGTCCTTCCCAAGTTGATCTGAAAGTAGTTTTAGAGAATATATATTAAGAGCATACATAGAGTACAGATAGGACATGGAGGTGAAGATGACAAAAAGAAATTGTAACGTGAGGGGATCAACTATTCATATCAATTTTTAATAATTCACTATGATTGAATGATCTTGGCTTGATGAAAAATATATAAGAGGCTGTAGAACTAATTGGCATGTACTCGTTTGCTTCCTGAGTACTATCCCTTTTGTTCTGATTAGCTTGCCTAGTTTGTGGATATGTGGAGTGGTCCTGCGTTCTCTTTTGGCATGTGTCCAACTTTGCTTTGCTGTTGCTGGAGAGTTGTACTGATCACTGCTTTGCTGTCTGCCTGAACAAATGGACACTCTGCTGTCTTTGCTCTGGAAGCATCTCAAGTTCCCATTCCTGGGCCTAGACTGCCAAGTGCATAGGAGCTAAAGCCAGTGTTAGGCTGGTGAGTGCTTGGGCCTCATCCTTACCAGTTGTCTGACCTTGCATCTATTGTGTTGGGATTTGAGAAAGAACTTGTTGCAGAATTAAGCAAAAATCTACTCTGGAGTTGTGGGGGTGAGGGTTGTTTGTTTTGTTTGGCTTTTTTGAAAAATCAAATCCCTTCCATTAATGGAGAAATCTTGTCAGATCTTTGTTGATAAATATTTTATGGGTCCATGGTTATTTATGCTTTTGATGTCATTGTTACGTTTGGGGAATAATTAAATCAAGATACATGCTTAAATTTAGAATTAACCCTAAAATAGTGGAGGAATGATGGGCCTTTTAGTGTTTGACAGATCCTGGTTCTGATCCCAGCTCTTCCTCTTCCTGGCAGAGTGCCCTTGAACACACCACCTCACCTTTCTGAGCCTCTCCCCTGATCTCCCACAATCAGGAAAGGACTCCTTCCTACCCTGAAGGGTTGTCATGGGAATTAGAGCAGATTAATTGGGGATTTATGATCATCTGCTGGCCTCCCATGTACTTATGTGAGATCCAAGAAGGGAGAAAAGTGGTAAAGGTCTGAAGAGATTGGGCAGACTGTCAGGTGGGCACTATTTAGTGCCACACTAGATAAAATGTGCTAATTATGATTCATTTGTCATCTGACTATCTAAAATGATCAGATACTTGATTTTTTTAAAACAATTTGAAAAGGGGAAAGAAGATTTTAAGTAACCATTATCTTTCTATCCATTCTTTACTAAATTTTCCTTTAGTACTTTTTTTTTTCTTCTCTGTCAGTAGATACTCTAGGTTGATTTTGACTCAGTTTTAAATATTTACTAATTAATAGTGATTACCATTCATGATGTTTTAACCTTTTTTCAGTTCTAAATACGACCTTATGCATGAAGCTGTGAAGGTTTATCAGAAAACTATGGTCCTGCTATTTATAGTTAGATCCATTATGTGACAATTAAGAGTGCCTTTAAAGGTGGTAAGCAGAGACGTAGGAAGTGGTTGATTAGCAAATGTACCTAAAAGGAGTGACTTATGAGGCAAAGTGTTTTATTATGCAGCTTCTGTGCTAAGCTATATTTCATAAAACATTGAATTTCAATACTGACAGAATTAAGAGGTATTCTTATCCACCTTTTTTATTTTTAGATGAGACTTGCCAAGTGACTTGCCCCAGGTCACAAAGAAAGGTAATGGTAAAACCTAGAGCTGGGGCCTTCTCTTTTCCTCCTCCTTTGATAAAAGAGTAATTAAAAGCAAACTCTGCCTTTTAATTCAAAGATGTCACCACTCCCCTCTCTCAGTTATCTTTTATGACTTTGCTCTGTGTGCAAGAGCTGTTGTGAATTTGCTGATGATTCAACAGGTCTGCATACATGTTTGTAATATTTGCTAAGATGAATTTTATAAGCTGCATGAAGTCATTCTGCCCTTGTTTTATAATTAGTCAATAAAGTGAAGCCAAAATAAAATTCCCAGTGTATAACTACACCAAGACGTCTGGTTTTATCCCTGAGGCTACTATTGTAGCCAAGGGTGATGTCAATACGGGTCTCTACTCTTTCCTCTTACTTTGCAAAGATTATATTTATTGATCTAATATTAGATCAATGTTTATTATTATATCACTATTTACTATTGGATCAGTATTAATAATTTATTATATACATGTATTTTATGGCAATGATCTTGAAGTTTTTGAAAAGAGAATAAAAATAAATAGGTGATAGCATTTCAGTCATAAAAAAATTTAATAAAATTTTTTCTTTCACATTCTGTTAGTTTTCAAAAAAATTCACATTAGTATCAGATTTTAAATGGGTATTTAAAAATTTCATTTTCAATATATTTAACTATTTTACTTCTACTTTGACATTTTCCCTTTTAAGAAGTGCAATAAACATAAATTAAAGCACAAAGAACAGGTATATTGCAAAAGGTCACATTAAATATTATTTCCAAGTGGTCAGACTAGACCTGCTAGATTTTTATTTCTCAAAGTTTTCCTATGTTTGAGTTAAAGAAAAAATGGTTGTAGTTTCAAAAATCTATATATAATTTGTCAGGGATATCTTCTTGGGAGAAGAGATATCCAAGTTGTGACCTGGAAAATAAGTAGAAGTTAAAGAGGTAAAACTAAGGGAAGGCAGAGAAAAAAGAGTGTGTGCAAAGGCAAAGAGCAGGAGAGAGCAGGTCGAAGAACTGGGAGAATCTCAGTGGAAGACATTGAATTTTTTCACTGTCATGCTCTGCTATAGGCGCCTGTGGGACATATGAGTAGAGAGCTCTCTAATAAGCAAACAAATAGGCAGGAAACCAGTAAAGACATCAGGGCTAGACATGGAGATTCAGAAGTCTACAGCATACAGAGGGTAACTGAAGCCTTGGGAGTGGAATGAAGAGGCAGAGAGGATCTGCCAGAGCATCAGACAGTACATGTGAAACATTCTTTCAAGAAGTTTGGCTTTGAAAGGGGGAGGGAAAAGGGCTATAGCTATAGCTATAGGGAGAATTTGGGTTCAAGGAAAATGTTTTGTGTTTTTAAGGTTAGGAAAAATTGGAACACAATTAAATACTGATGGGCAAAAGCTGAGAAAGTAAGATAGGTTGGAAATAAAAAACGGTGAAGTTATAGAAGCAGAAAAACTCTGAGGAAGAGGTCCAGAGCTTAAGTGGAGGCAAATGTAGAAGAGCAGGATCTCCTTTTGGAAAGCAACCCACAGGTGGAGTCTAAACTATGTGAATTCAGGTAAGAGCATAGTTCTTGTGGACTGAAGTTGAAGAGAGTCTCATTTAATGGGTTGTTTCCTCTGAGGTCTGCAGTGAGCCCATCTGCTAAAAATCAGGGAGGCGATGGTGGGCTGAGTTCACTTATAGATAAAGGAGGAGAAGTAGTCACTGGAGAGCAAGGGAAAGAACTGTCTCAGGAACAGAATAATTATTATACTGAGGGCTTTGTCTTTTCCCTAATTACAGACAGGGCCAACTCCCTGCTCTAGAATAATACTGGGTCAGTAGCTTTGTTCATAATGGTAACTGACCTCACAGAAACTCAAATCCTGGTTACAGTTTGCCAAATGATTTTTGATCAATTAAAAACACCATCCAAGTGTACTTATGTTTTAAAACTTTATTAGTAGTAACTTAAAATATTTTATTAAAAATTATACTTCCTCCCAATTGTATTCTCTTGTTGGTTGGTTTAGACTCTCATCGTGGCTTGGATCCGAGCAAACCTCTATGTGTATATTTCTCGAGAGCTCTGGGATGACTTTCTTGGTGTGCTGTCCTCCCTCACGGAATGGGAGGAGCTCATCAGTGAATGGGCAAACATAATGGACTCTTTGACAGCAGTGCTTGCAAGAACTGTTTATGGAGTTGAAATGACAAACCTACCTCTGGATAAATTAAGTGAACAAAAGGAGAAGAAGCAACGAGGCAAAGGTACTTCCACTCTCCCAGGGTAGCACCAAGTTCCTGGAACTGGGAAAGATTGTGTATTTATACATTGAAGCAATCAAAACATGACATTTCATAATGAACTGAATTAACCAAATAACATCTTTTTAATGGTGGCATTAGATTGTGTCTCATATTACTCTGTTCCCTTAATGTGACCAACAAGTTTCTGAAGAGGCTGTGGAAGGAGAAAGATGAGACAGAAGTAGTAGCAGTCATAATATTGATAACTAACAATAATAATAATAATGGCCAGTTCTTTGAAGGTCATCTCACTTCACCATCATGATGACTCTACAAAGTTGATATTATTATTATCCCGGTAACATAGACCAAAAAAAAAAAATGAAGTACATAGACTTTATAGTGATTGATTCATTCTAGATCACATAAGAAGTGATAAAGACCAAAATCAAAGCCAAGATTAGTCCTACTCAAGATTAGTCCTACACCACTAAGATGTAGCTTTTTGCCTTCTGAGGAAATTTTGGGAAAAATTCTGAATGCTTCCAAGGGAAACTCTCATCTGTACTCCAACTTATTCTCTAAAGATTGAGGCAGTTCATAGGAATGCATATAGTACAGTAGATGGAATGCAAAAAGAAATGGGGCAAAATGAGCAGGGAGGAGCTACAGGTATGGTTATAATACCAAATTGCATGCTGTAGAGCCTCATATGCTTGCTGGGAAGGTAGGGAAGGGGCATCCTTGGATTTGATTTTCATTTTTACAGTGTTATAATATACAGAATCACAGAGTACATAAAGTAAAAACAGTTCATTTCCTTAGGTGATATGTAGTTTGATCCTAAGACAGGAGAAATTTCTCCTTCAAAGCCCCATCAAGAGTACACATGAAGTGGCTGGGGTGTGGCACAGTGGTAAAGCACTTGCCTTCCACATGTGAGGCACTGGGTTCGATCCTCAGCACCACATAAAAGTAAATAAACAAAATAAAGACACTGCTTCCATGTTCAACTAAAAAATATTTTTAAAAAGAGTACATATGACTTATTATAATAGACTACACTCAATAATAACCTTAATATAGATTGTATCAGTTGCATGTGACAATTCCCCCCAAAATTTAGTGCATTAATATAACACAACTTAATGAATTTTCAATTTGGATAGCACTCAGTTGATCATTTACTTTCTTAGTCTTTGCTTGATCCATTCCTTTTCTGGAGAAAATTGGGCTGTGCAAGGGTCAGCTAGACTGCTCTACTTCTAAGAGTTAGGTAGCTGTCAGCCAGGGCAGTGGGTGTGACTGCACCACATTTCACTACCCTGCAGGCTGGTTTGGACTTGTTCAGATGATGGTTTAGGGCTCCAGGAGCAGCAAGGGGGCAAGCTCAATTATTTCAGAGCATTTCAAGTCTCTGCTTGTTCAATTTTGCTACCAAAATAAGTCACATGATGAAGCCTGCAGGATTAGTGTGGGAAAGGACAACAGGGGATGTGGATATGGGGAAGTGTGAGCTAATTACAATGATTAGTTAACTATGTAACATGTAATTAATTGGGACTGATTCTTACAATATATTTATTATAGTCTGAGAGTGGCTTGCCAAAGCCCCAGTTAGTGAAACAAGGCAGTAAGAAGCCACAACAAAGTAGCTTAAGTACATGGCATTCCATAGGAACAGTTTAATCTCAGTTTAGATTTAGAATGTGTAGAGCATTTATTTTTTTAACATATTTTTAGCAATAGATCCCTTTTTCTCCACTTTCTAAGCTCAACAGAATCCCTTTCCGAAATAACTTATATTAGATTAAAGATTTGGGATTGAAGTAAGCCAGAAAGACAAGAGTTTGGGCCCTTGTCTTCTTTCCTTCTTGTCCTCTTTCACAGTTCTGGGGTCCTCTGTGTAAACCAGAGCCTGAGAGGATCGGGTTCTTCCACTTGAGAACTTGGCTTCCTAACACAGTGGATCTAGGCCCAGCAGAGAGTTTACCAGCTAAAAGCACCTTTCAGGTGGGGAGGGAAAGAGCTGAGATAAGAAATAAAGATTTATTTTCTCCAACTCTCAAACTAACCCCATTCCCTGCCTCCTGAAATCCTTATAATACACACACACACACTCTCTCTCTCTCTCTCTCTCTCTCTCTCTCTCACATATTCACCACCCTGCAATATTCTCTTCCCTCCCACTGTGCAAATATGAAGAGATATCCTTAGGAAGACAATTTTAAAAACACTGTTTTCAGAACAGTTCAGAACAAATTATTTAAATAATAACCGTGACACATATTTCTAACTTATATTGCTTTATTCTAAAGAGAGATTTAAGTATTTCTTGTAAAAATTTAAATATTCATTGTAGAAACACTTACCTTATAAACATTTATTACCTTTCACTAGACCAGTGAAACCAGAAAACACAGACAGAAGAACCTGGGTATGGAAATAAGCTACAGATTGCAACCACTGGCCACATCAGACCTATGCAAAAATCTCTTAAGTTCCTTATTTTTTTCCTCTTATTTTTCTTTTGGCTCCTTGACCTTTCATTGAAATAACTGACCAGAGAAATATGAGAGAAAAGAAGTTGAATCTCAAAAGTTGAGTTGAATCTCAATACAATCTGCAGAATCTTATAGTTTTAGAGCTTTTTCTAAAATATGATTTTATATTTTATATTTTACATATATGTGTGTGTGTATATGTAAAATATAAAATATATATATGTTATTTATTATATTGCTTATTTGACCAAATCTACATTAGAGTTATAGGCATGTATTTATTAGGGCATTGTGGAACAGTTGGAGTCTAGAGGATGTAGTACTATTCTAACATCATGATCTCTGGTTTTTGGTTTGTAAGTATTTGTTTTAGAAGTGTCCTGGGAACTGTGATTTAACATCATTTGATGTTTTTGTACTGAGAAAGATTTATTAATATCTTTGTATACCGAAATGAATACTATGAAGATACATTTTCCAAGATAATTGAAAATACTTTGGCAACAGTAATGTTTAGTTATAATAACTTCCTAAAATGCCGTATGGGGAAATACTACCTAATTTGAAGCATGGGAACCTGCTAGTTATGTTTCATTGTATATATGCCATTTGCTGAGCTGCACCAGCTGTGAAATAAATGATGATGAAGTCAGTTTATTTTTCTCACCTTATCATTTATCAGGCTGTGTTATAGATTCTCAGAAAGGAACAACTGTGGGGAGATCTTTTTCTCTCAGCTGGCGGAGCCACCCAGACGTGACTGAGCCAATGCGATTTAGGAGTGCTACCACTTCTGGAGCACCAGGAGTTGAAAAGGCAAGGAATATTGTTCGCCAGAAAGCAACTGGTAAACATTTATTTTATTTAAATATTTCTTTAAAATCTAATTGTTAACTAAAATGGGTTTATAGGAATACAGTATTTTAAAATTCTACCCAGAATTCAAATATTAGCACTTTTATTAAATGAAATTCTCTGTATCTTTATAATTTTCTGCTCAGGCTACTTTTCAGATCACAGTTTTCAATATTTCTAAGTTCTCCATTATGAAAAGAACTGGAGATGGTAATATTGAATGAGATATTTGTGCAAAATAGAGAAAATAGTGGTTTTGTTTGAACCTTGAAGAAAGTGGATTCCTAACAAATCTATCATTAGTTGCATTACTGTTATTGTTAAACAGTGTTCATCTAAAGAGTGTGTGGTAAGTGGTTCTGGCAAAGAAAAATAGACAAATACTCTTAGTTTTCAGGACTGGATGGAGACATTCTCATTTTTTGCTTCCTTAGAAAATTGATCTTTTCATTCCTATAGATGTTGTCTTTATAGTCTATTTGAATTAACAACTTGACCAAGAGCTCCCAGTTAATCAAATTGCTTTGCAACATTTTCCTCTTAAAATAAAGAGAGAAATCTTTTAAAAGGAAACTCGTATCCAATATTTAATAAAGACCAATAAAGCTCCCTCCTCCCCATTAACTTTGAGGCTGTACCTTAGGTTTCAAACAACTGTATTCCAGTTTCCTATAGTTTTTATGATCAATTATACCATGTAATTATAATTGATACTCAGCTTATTGATTTCAGGAAATCATCAGATCCTCTGGCCGTAAAGCAAGGATTCAGTTAAGCTGAGCATACTTTACAGTGCTTACTAAAAGATTAGTATACATGGTTTAGGGTCCTGTTGGCATTTTTATGAAAATATGGTATGCCTTAACCCTAACTTTCTCATGCTTTTTGCCATAGCATTTGCTGGTAACTATCACCTTATTTATATACCTCTCATAGTCTCCCTGTTTTCTTTCATTTTCTCTTCTGAGGAGAGACCAAATTCCTGATAACAGGCAGTTTTTGAGTGTGCCCTTCACTGATTTCCCTTTTCATTCTAATTCCTAAACACTCCTTTCTTCTACCATTGGATCCTTAAAGAAAAAGATCAGAAGTGTGTGACAAATAAAGGTGGAATCCTGCCTGAGCTGCCCAGACTTCCTGCTTTCCCTACCATCTTTGAATTATAATAAAAGTGAATTTAACAAATTAAAAACTATGGTTTTTAAATTTTATTCTCACATGTTAATGAGGAACAAACTATTGTACATCACATGTTCCATATGATTCTACTTCGCCGAAACATAGACACTAAAGAGATGGCATCTTAACTATCAGCAGATATTTTAAACCAACAATATGGTAGAGGCATCAGCATGCTTTAGAAAATACTTAGAGCAGTTATGACAGTGAGGTTGTTATTAGCCCTTTCAGGTGTCTGAGAAGCCATGGCATTAGAAGATCAAGTACTTGTACAAAATCATGTGAAAGTATTTATAGAATATATCTTTTAAAACCATAAGCTTGGCCTCTGTAGGATTAATTAGACTTTTAGAAGATAAGAATCGTAACCTTTGAAAGATTATGAAGATGTTCAGCTGGACAAATCTATCATCTTTCTAAATCTATATCTATGTACATATATACATACATTTTTTATTTCATTTTACTTTTTGAATAATATAAAATATCATGAATTATTTTTGTTATCTCTAAAAAAAATGGCCTTTAAGGATTTTATTATATCATGCTGTTTTTTAAAATTACATGAACTAAATGTTGTGATTTTACTCAGTTTTCTTTTTTTGGTACTGGAGATTAGACTCTATTACTGAGCTACATCCCCAGCCCTTTTTGTTTTTTGTTTTGAGACAGGGTCTTTCTAAGTTGCCGAGAACCTTGCTAAGTTGCCGAGGCTGGCCCTGAACTTGTGATCCTCCTGCCTCAGCCTCCCGAGTCACTGGGGATTATAGGCCTGCACCACCATACCTGGCATTCAGCTTTACTTTTATGTTATATAAAAACTCACCTTTTATTAAAAAAAAAAAAGCCCAAAATATTTTCATGGTAGCACTTAGTTTTTGTGGAAGCCACATTTTTATGAGAGAATACCAGCTCATGAAGTTATTTTTACTACTTTTAGTAGTAATCATTTTAATAGCAATGGTAATTATGGAAGATCCATTTGAAAGTGACTTTGCTTTCCCTAATTGCAATAAGAGATGATTTAAGAGTATTATATAATGATTTGCCCCACAGATTTTTTAGGTAGAGAAAATATCACTGATGGTGACATGAGAGAAAAATAAAATAAACAGTTGCAGAGTGGAAAAATGACAATTAGTTTAGAGAGTGCACTAGGTTATAACTTTAAAGGCCTGCAAGGAGTCTTAAGTAAGGAAAACTTACAAAAGAAAACTTTATCCCTAAGTATGAATGATGATGAGTTTGGATTCCTAAAATGTGACAAAAATCAAAGCAAGTCTTTATTTTTATATAAAAATATCCTATATTTTATTACTTCTACAATTTCTAGTGATCAATTTTAGAGAAATGCCTAAACATTTAATTTATAAAAGGAAAACTTTTTTAAACAGCACTCAAAAAGTTTCCAACATTTTGAGAGATGAGCAAATCTACTAAGAAATTTGAAGTGAGTGGGTTTGACATTTACATGGATGTTGTCATTTACATATTATCTTCACACACATGTAAATTATACTGTAATTACTTTACAGATCATCCTTTTACTAATTCTAATAGGCAAAGAATGGGAGAAGGAACAGTAAACTAAAAAGTTTGTTTTACTTTTTATAAATCTGCCACTATTATTTCATTCATGATTTATAAAGATACATAAAATAATAAAACATCAAATAAACCTTATATTCTAAGGATGAAATGGATTTTTGTTGACTTTGGTTTTATATATATGAAACATGTTCTCTTGCTGTATCTGTCCATTTTCTCAAATATTTATTTGACCAGAGGTGTACAGAAAACTTAAGAACATCATAAAGTTGATATTAATAAACTATAGATTTAATAAGCATGAAATATGATATAAAAGGGTAGGTTTCATGGAGATTTTACCTTTTATTCAAATAACAAATCTTGTAATTTCAACTTGATTGTCACGCATTCTTGAGCTTTTAGGATATTTAATCTATTAGATGATTTGCTTTTGAATACAGTCATCTTTCAGCAAACCAATTTCTTAGTTTTTTTTTTTATTACTTGTAGAAGAATTTTAATCTTAGGCCAGATTTTTCTTACTGTGTCTTTTTGTGTGTGTCCTTTAGGAAGGGAAAAACTATTGTAATGTCTGACTGAATAATCAACCCAAATTTGAATATGATACACAACAGAAGAAAAGATGCTAAACATAYAAAACATTCCAAAATAAAATTGATTTTTTTATTGTTTATTCTTTTATGTTATCAGGGCAACTGAAAGTTGGCTGTATTTTGAGACTACAATTTAATAAAAGTACTTTGTATGACTTCCTTTAAAGTTTAAAATGACCTCCTTGAAGTATTTAAAGAGAGACCAGAAAAATAGTAATAAAAAAGTAGTGAACGTTCTTGATAATGCTTCTGACATAATTATTACTTTATCTCTCCTGGAAGCTAAGCGAAGCCAGTCTATCAGCAACTGTGTCTACCTTTCTGAGGCTTTGCCTGCCACTAAAAGCGTCCCGCTCCTCCTTCACACCGTGAGCGCTCTCTTACCTGGTCTCTCTTACTCCTCTTGCTCTCACAAGCTGTCAGGTACTGTAACACTCTCTCATGTGTCCATCAATGTCTTTGAGATCCTCCTGCTTGCCTCTGGGCCTTGCTTCTTTTGTTAATACCTACATATCATATGTGGGTGCCTCACCATTGCGCTTGTGTTAAAGTCCAATGAATATAAGTAATTTTTTTGTGTGTAGTTAGAAGTTTTGTAGTGATTGGTCAAGAAAAATTTCTGCAACGCCACTGGTCTTACATTTTCATAAAATTTTATAACATGTCAGTGTTAAAATGCTAACTGTACCTTTCAAAAATATCAATAAACTGGAAAATTATGCAGGTAAGACTTCTTTAGGGATAGTAAGTCATATAAATAATTCATATATAAAGTAATCATCAGTGTACGCAGACTCATATTGATAATTGATATTTAAGTAAAAAACCTAAAAMCTTTAAAAAGAGCTAATTTGCAAAACAAACATTTTGTTACTGGACTTCAGCCAGTTGAAATTGAAATTGAAATTAGTCTTTTGTGGTTTACTCAAAATATAGTTCTTGATTTACTAAGATGTCACAGTACCAGGCACAGTAGGGTGAATACAGTTAATAATATCTCAGAGTAGCTAGCTCAGAGGAATTTGAATGTACTCATCATAAAGAAATGATTAAAATTTAAACTTTGATAGACATGCTAATTATTCAGGTCTGATCATTATCCATTGTGTACATGAATCAGGAACACTGCACATCATAAATATGTGTAATTATTGTGTATCAATTAAAAAAAGTTATTATAGTACCAAAGTGATTATTGGTATATCCACTATAACAAAAATATTTACTTTTCTTCAGTGAATAATTACATCTATGTCTAGATATTTTTCAGTGACTCTAATATAAACAATTTTCTCATCAAAGGGAAATATTTTCATACTCTTTATTTTCAGAAATCTTGTATGTAGATTAGTATTATTAAATATTGAAGATAGTCTAATTGTGGCTTTCTATGATTAAATCATATCATATTGTAGTTTGGCACAACAAAATTAATGGATTGGATGTATTTTCTTATGTTCATATATGAATGCACAACCAGTGTAACCCCATATCATGTACAACCACTAGACTGGAAATTCATCCTCCATGTATATACAATATGTCAAAATATATACTCTGCTGTCATGTATATCTAAAAGAAAATATTTAAAAATTGCTTTATCTAAAACAAAATTAAAGCTTAAGTTGAGTGATGAGTATATAAAATAATACCATATTATTTCATTTACAGACTATGAAGGAAGCAGTTAGTTTTACTGAGACTGAGGACTATAACATTTCTTAGATAACTCTTCAGTAAATACTGATGGTGAAAAACAATAAGAATGGTACTTGGGGAAATGGCTATCCATTGGTTAACTTACTGATAACTTTTAACTGTTTATTTGGTTTTTCCAGAAAATATTACTGTTTAGAGGTGATTAAAAAGATACTTTAAACAAATTTGCTTCCTATTTGGCTGGTACTTACTCAAAGAGGTTTTTTTGTAGTGAAAAGTTTTATTTTACAGTTTAATTTTCATATTGTTTCACTTTAATTTTTTACTAGTTTTATTTTGTGTGTAATGTTTTCACAAAAATCTCTTCCTGTTAGTAATTTCATTTTAGAATCTTTTTTTTTTTTTTTAAAGAGAGAGGGAGAGAGGAGAGAGAGAGAGAGAGAATTTTTAATATTTATTTTTTAGTTCTCGGCGGACACAACATCTTTGTTGGTATGTGGTGCTGAGGATCGAACCCGGGCTGCACGCATGCCAGGCGAGCTCGCTACGGCTTAAGCCAAATCCCCAGCCCTAGAATCTTTTGTACTCATTCACTCTTACATTTTATTTTACTCAGATTCTTGGTTCCTGTATAAACAGTTCCAACAGAAGTTCAATATTTAGAGCAGTGATTCTCAACTGGCACCTGGTGGGTAGAAGTCAGGGACACTGCTAAACTACCTACAATATACAGGCTGGCCCAAGAACGAAGAACTATCAGGCCTCAAATATCAATAGTGCTAAGGGTAAAACACTTATTTAGGGTGAAATGAAGAAGACTGGTCTGGGTCTTTATTGTTGTGCTTTTGCCATCCTGGTTTTATAGCAAATAGAGTGAAGGGACTTAGGGCGTAGTGACTTTTGAGAACAATTTGCTATTCTTTGATCTGGCAACTACAGTATCAAGCTCCTTCTTTCAGTCTGATGCCAGTTGTTCTTTATCACTTAAAATGATGCTGTTGTCCTTTGTGATTGTCCTGTTAGGAGAAGAGGCCAAGAGCAGTGTATATCAATCCTCAGTCTTAGGGTATATGTCCTCTACTGGTTGGCACATGGGCATATCCTGATAAACTATTGCTAGATAATATTCAGACACTTATAATTTTATTTTCTGATCATGAATTCCTTACCATATCAATGATTACTGCTTTTGTTTTCATGTAAGGTAATATTTCTTGTTTTTATTTTTAATCTGTGTGACCAGTCAACTCACAAAAATTGTTTTAGTAACATAAACAATAGAGAATTACCTTCAACCATGATTACATTTACTCTGATCCTTTGGGGACTCTATTTGGTAGTGACATAATTTTGGTAGAGTTATTTGTCTTTCAGGGGGAAAGATGTGGTGTTTGTTCTTTGGAAGAGTCACAACCAACTTGTTTTTATTAATATGAATTGCTGAATAGCTACATTAAATGCGCGCGCGCACACACACACACACACACACACACATACTTTTTCCTTTGTGGGAAGTTTCTTGTAGCTGTTTTGCCATTTAATCTGCTTTTTATGTTGGGTCATTTATCAGTCTGTTGCATTCACAGGCTGTGCAGATGGTAGATTTTATTTTTCTTTGGGGAATATTATAATTGTAGTAATTAGAGGATCAGCCATCTTCCCTTATTCTAAAAAGACTTAAGGGACCTAATGGGAAGCCTCACTTAGCTGCTTCTGCATCTTGTTGGTAGGCTCTGGGGAAATGCATATTGTCTGTTACGACCGGGGCTGACTCACTTCTGGAAAGCTTGATCTTGTGAGAAGCCTTAATGTTGAGTGAATATATATCTACTGTGCTTTTTATAAGTTTAAGTTGGTATCATGTACAATTTTTTTTAAAACTAGGAAATTATACTCTTCATTTTACTTAAACAGCCTTGTATAAGGGTAATTGGAACCCGGAACTTTGATTAGTAAAACATGAGCCTCATTCCATTAAATAAGATTGATTAAGAAAGTCTTAACTTTCAAATTACTTTGAAAATATTCAGATGTCTGGAAAAAATAAAAGTTAATTAAGAGCTTACACATTTGGTTTCATTAAATCTTGATGATTCTTTTTCTCAGTGGGAAAAATTAAGTAATCCTTTATTGATCATTTTTTGATGTTTTGAGTAAAGCTTTAGAAAGCAAAGCATTTAGTATTGAGAAATTTATACCATTAATAGAGAAGAAAGTTTGTGCTTTTAAAATTTGGGTTATTGGGATTAACTAGGCTTTTGAGACAGTAAATGAATTGGTGAATTGAGCCAGAATTTAGTTCTTTGAAGTGATTCAAAACAATTATTATGTGACATTCAAAACAGAAGATGCATTAGATCTAAGATTTATCAGGTAATTTTTCTATATTGTGGATCATTATTTTTCATCTTTGAATATTACATAATTCTGTATCTTGATATTTTCTTATCAGTGTTAAAATGACCTGCATTTGTTATAAAAGAATGACTGTTACAGCTGACACTAGGATGGGAGCAACTTTAGCACAAATTGCACTTTCTTAACAAATGAAATACCAGCAGAGGGAGCCCAAGATCTGTTAAAAAAGAAAAGCCTCATGAACATGTTTTATCATTTGTTTGTCCATATATTAGAAAGCATGGATTGAGTACATACTTAGTGCAAAGAATGAAAAAAGCCCAAGAAATGATGTATACTTACAAAACAGGCAATTGGGTTTAAATTGTGGGATAAGAATAATTGAAAATTTCCCATACCCTGTCTCATGATAGTCAACTACAGGAGTAACTCAGAGCTCTGACAATACAACAAGTGCACTTGGCATTGTAACTGTCACCTTTCTTCCACTTCAATCACTGATACTCCTGCTTCTTCCAGTTATTTCTATAGCTTGGGCTTCCTCCATTTGAGAAATCTCTCCTGACAGTTTTGCAAAAACAAAGCTTTAAAAGCTGCATTAGGCCAGCCTGTTGGAAGACAGACCAGCTGGTGGTGGCAGGCGCTTCCACCGTCTGCTATGTTGAGGACCAGTGGGGGCACTCTAATTTGGAAGGGATGGTGCTGTGGCTGTATTGTATCCCACCAGATGGCGGTGTTCTTTATCTTTAGAAGGAAGCTGCCAGTGTTGGCTCGGCTTTTATTTGCTTCTGCTCATACTCCAGAAAGCAACATCTACCAATTTTGGCATCAGATTAAGAGAATAAAACCCACTGCTCTTCCCACTATCCACAAAATGGGCACTGGCCAATTATATTTTAGAAAGTTAGAAAGCTCTTGGGCGCCCTCTACTGATATTAGATTTAAAAGAATGTTCATTAACAAATATATTCTCTTTTTACAAGGTTTCTGCATCTTGCATAATTAGAATAAACAATGAAAGAAGATAGATGAAGGGCTGGCTCATGGAGTCATATGTTTTTGATTGTCTAACACTGAAGACACTAGAAGGAGATTTGTGCTTTAGGATGTGTAGCTAATTTTTTTTAAAAAAAATTGCACATATGCTCTGTGTTTCTCCATGGAAAAAAATGATCAGTGCTTGGCTACTTAAGATGAAGGCAAAGAAAATCTGGGAAAACGAGGCTTTAATGAGTCTGTCTCCTCCTGGAACTTTAGCCTATGTTTTCTTACACTCCAAGCTCACTTTCTGATCAGCATCCAAATTTAGACTGTAGTGTAGAACTTTGAATCTTAAATGAACTATCCCACCAATTTCATAGTTTTGAAGTCTTGTAATTGTATCAATATAATAGTAAATGGAATTTTCATTTGGATAGAAAAAATAAAGCACCAACCCTTTGTAGAATTCCTGCATGTTAAACTTAGAATCATCATTTATACCATTTCTTGGTTGAGGTGAGCCATCACTTTGACTTATGGCTTGGAGTATAGAAAGGGCTATACAGAGGGAGGCTCACTGCCAGTGAGCCTCCATTTCTAGTGAGGAACTGGGTGACACAGCCAGGTAAGATAATACAGACTGAATTTTAATCAGTCTTTTCTTAGTAGCAGTGAAACTTTAGCTGATTAAAAAATTTGGAAAATATGGTGTCATGATTATGTGGATGTAAAGTTTTATAACTACATCAGTGAATATAGAGTGTGCTAAGGAACAGAGCGATGGATCTTACATGCGTGGCCACAAAGCAAGACCTATAGGGGGATGTGCCCATAGTAGCATAGACAGGAGGGGCAAAGGAACATGGCTGGGGTTAACATAGGGAGTGAATAGCAGGAGGAAGAGAGCAGAAGGTGTCAAGTTGGTCCTATTGCTGAGAATAAAGAAATTACCAGTTCTTTGTGGGGAGTAGGGGGGTCATTATGTGGGATAATATAATCTAGAAGACTCTGTTTACCCCAGTGAGCACAGATTTGACCCCCTGATGATAGAAGGCCTTGCAGGGTTTTAAGAGGAGTGGTATAGACAGATCTTTGTTTTAGAGACACCTCTCTGGAGCACACATACGAGGGTGGCAAAAAGAAGGGGACAGTGACTAGTTAGAAGGCAAATAAAATGACCTAGAAAAAAGATGATACAACCTCAAAGCCCTAACTCTAGAGAGAGAAGGTAGAGTGGTTATCCCAATGCCTTGGGTGGCTTTTAGAGATTAAAATGAATTATGCATTTTAGAAATGAGCTAAGAAGAAACTCATTCTCCAGGGCAACATAGTTAGTAATAATCCTAGTGGAGATTATCCAGGAACCAGTACTCAGTTATTTTTATTATAGTCATATGTGTGTTAGGTCTATAAATATACCAAGAGATCTTTTTGTCCATTAGCGATATGCACCATTAAACAGAGTTTTATTTTGGTCAGTTGTGCACTTTTCTGGTAAAAGGAATAACAGTTGAAATTCTTATTTTCTTTCATCTTCCTTGTGTGTGTGTGTGTGTGACTTTCTACTGTCCTCAAATATAAACTGTCCTCTCTGTGCATCTCCCAAGTTACTGGATCTTTCTTTCCTTTCTACCCCTGAAATTTCAAGTGACTTACAGCTCTCAATCATTTTTGTGGCTTTCACTACCCTTTCACCCTTTACTTTGATTTAAAAATAAAAAGCTGAGTAGAACTTAAAAGGAAAATATATTATTGGAGTGGAATATTAGTGTTAACAAGGATAGGAAACTTGATGATATAAATACAAATTATCTTACTGCAAAGGTTTTGTGGAAAAGTATCTAAAACTTAATTCTTTAAATCTGTTTTTTTAAATGGTGAAAATATTTTTTAAAATCTTAAGCTACAACACTTCATTTTTTGTGTTAATGCTCACAGAAGTGGAGGAATGTCAACAGTCAGAAAATGTACCCGTAGCTGAGTCTGGTCATCTCATGGTGGGACAGCAACAGGTCCTCCGGAGCAGCAGCACATCTGACATCACTGAGCCACTGTGCTCAGATTCTTCTCAAGGTGCGGTTTCTTCAGTTATTGATTCAGAATGTAGATTCTGGTTGGAGGTGGGGAACTGCAGAGAGTATTCTTTTCTACATTTATTCTGAATATATTTTGAGGGAATTTACTTTTTGATTACAAGGATGTGGTTTCTACCAATGAAATGTTTTCATTGTTTAATATATTTCTTTAAAATATATCAAGTTTGGCAAATGACTAGAGTAAGGAGGAGTCAGAAAATATTCCTAGACAAGAGCAGAAGGAATAGCACATTATGTAGAAAGCAGGGGGGCAACATGAAGGGAAATGAGGAATGGGCTGTGAGAGGAGCTGTGGAAGTTGAAAATGAGAATGGAAAGCTGACCAGACTTGTGGAAAAGTTTACTAGCAACTTCCAAACACTGCTGAGGTTGAAAATAACTTGCAGTAGCATTTGTCTACATGGTTTTGCCAACAACTTTCAGCAGCAATAGGGTGGAGAAAACAGAGAGATAGATAATTCAACCCATTAACAGTTAATGGTATACTTTACAGTGAAAACACGTGTTTAAAGTTTTATAAAGTATCAACTTACTTATCATTCCAATTTAGTGTCATGAATTAATTAAGAAACAAATCTACCTTGTTTATTAATAAGTTATATTTCTTAATATCAAGTATATGCTAGTCTCATAAAATATGTAGAAAAGTGTTCCCTCTTAGAAATCCTCTTGAAATAAGAAAATGTAGTAAAAATTAATCCAAGGAAATCTATTATCTGAAAGATTTTATACTCATTTAAAGATTTGTGTAAAATTATTATTATTAGGGCTGGGGATATAGCTCAGAAGCACAGTGTTTGCCTAGCATGCCCAAAATCCTGGGTTTGATCTTCACCATTGAAAGGGGGAAAAAGATTATCACTGTTTTCCTTAAATATGTGGGGAATCTGTTAGTTTCCTGGAGTTTTCTCACAAGAAGGGTTTAAAATATTATTCATATTTTTTTTAAATTTCACTTAAGGGAGAAGGAATAAGTTTAAAAGATCTGTTRTACAATATGGCAATTATAGTATAATTGTAATACAGTGTATAGTATTCTTAAAAATTTGCTAAGAGAGTAGATTTTTAAGAACTCTCTCACATGCACACAAAGAAGTATGTGAGGTAATGTATATGTTAATTAGCTCAATTTAGCCATCCCACATTGTATGTATATTTTAAAACATCATGTTATAATTGATAACTATATATACTTTTTACCAATTAAAGAACTTAAAAATTAACCATTTTTAAGAATTATAGGGCTATTCAGATTTTCCTTGTTTTGATTTTGATAAATTATGTTTTTCTGAAAATTTGTTCAGTTCATATTTATTTTCATATTTCTTGGCCTCAGATTATTTATAAAATCTTCTTGTGGCCTTTTTAAATGTTTATGGGATTTGTGGCGATATTCCTTTTCTTATTACTGAAACTTCCTGCTTTCTCTTGTCAGTCTTCATTTTAAGTCCTAAAGAGCCAATTTACTGCTCTCTACTTCCTGTTGGTTTACCTGTTGGCAACTCAGGCAGCTTTTCTTTGAGATACCTTTCCTAAGGTTTCCTGTGCTAATGGAATGACTAAGTGGAGCCATTGGCCACAGTGAACAGCATTGAGCCTTCTGTAGTCAAGGCCTTCTGTGGGCCAGAGACCAAGTCTTTAATGTGGGCTTTTCAGTGTGGGTATGGTTATGTATTTCATTGTTGAAAAACAGAATATTTATAAGTAAGCTGGTATATGCCCTTTTTAAGCATAAAGAAACAAGGAATTTAACAATGGTTATTTTCTAAACAGGAAGGAATATGAAGGCCTTCCCTTTTAATTTTGTACACTTCTGTGACAAATATTTGAGTTTTGTATAAATATAACTACATTTTATGCTGCCAGTTTGTCAGACCCATAATTCATGCTTTTATATATCTTAGGGTAGATTGCATATCTAGAAATAGAATAAATGAATTTACAGTAAAAATGTTTTTCTCTACAAGATAATACCTATTTTCCAAAGTGGTTGTACCTGTTATATATCTGCCAGCATTATATAGAGTTCCAATTCTAAATAGATATTTTGATAGTTATATTTATATGGAAAAATTGTTTTTCTAATTTTCCTTCTGAAACATTCCTTCTGTTGATTTTTCTTCCCCCACCAAATCTCTAGGTCAAAAGGTAGAAAATGCACAGAATTTGAGTTCTTCAGAACTCAGGGCCATTCAGGAGAATAAAGGACATGTGAAGAGAGAACATGAAGGAATAACAGTAAGATTTTTAAAAGCATATCAGTTTGTCATTTAAAAAAACCCAAATTATTGCATAATAAATGAATTTATTGGTGATGGTGATATTTAAATTATTTTTCCCATTTAGATGGACTATCAGCCAAAATGACCTTTAAATAAACATTTCAGGTTTTGCTTGTTTTCTTAAGTAAAATTATAGTCATGGTGCAAAAATGGTGAAATAAAATGAACACAAAATGGAATTTATTGCCTGGTCTGTATGTGGCATTATATATTTTTAAGCAGACAAATTTGCCTGTAGAACTTATATTTCAGATACCCCTTCTTGACGTTGTTTTGGGTAGTAGCCACCATCTGACCTGAGTTACTAGTTAAGTGAATATTCACAAGGGTCTGTTACAGTTCCTTTTTGCAGGGAAAGCCACCCATGTAGCCTTTATTCAAATATAAACAAATGCAATGTATAAAGAAGAAAATTTAAACATCCCATAACTCATTTACACAGATGACCCTGTTCATTTTTTTAAATGTAGTATATATTTATACAAATATATATGTCACAGAAGTGTTCAAAATTAAGAGGGAAGCCCTTCATATTCCTTCCTGTTTAGAAAATAATCATTGTTAAATTCCTTGTTTCTTTATGCTTAGAAAGGGCATATACCAGCTTACCTATAAATATTCTGTTTTTCAACAATGAAATACATACCCACAAACCCATCATCCTGTTTAAGAACTGCAGTGTTTCTTGTGTTATTGCTTTGGTTTCCTCTTTGTCCCCTCTTCCTGCTACCTCTCCCAGAGAGTGGCATTACTCTGGCTTTATGTGTATCAGTTCCTTATTTTGTTCTATGGTTTCGCCATATATGTATCTTCAAATGATTTATTTTTGAAAGTTTTTGTAAAGTGTTCATTAGTAGTACAGTTGCCTTGTTCACTCATTGTATGTTTCAGTGATTTATTCACATTCTGGCATATAGCAATAATTCATCAAATTTTCTCTGGCATATGAATATGCCATCGTATATTTTTCTATTATTTTGTTGATGGGCATTTAGATTGTTTCCAGCTTTTGTTTTTAGGGAAAACTGCCACTGTTTACATCTACATCTACAAGATCTACATGTTTAAAGTTTTCATTATGATGACCATCTAGGAGTGGAATTAATAAATTATACAATAAAATAATGTTCTATATAAGATAAGACCTAACTCCCAATGTAGTTTTACCACTTATATTTCTGTGATCAATGTATAGAATCCGCATTCACAATTTTGCCAAAACTTTTCTAGTTACAAATTCAAAAATTTTTATGAGTCCCAATTGGGTGAAAATAACATCTGATATTTGCATTTCTAGGTTACCAATAAGGTTTGAAATCTTTCCATGTTGATTGGTCATTTGTGTTTCATCTGTGCAGTGCCTACTTTGTCACTTATTGTCTTTTTTTCTCTTATTTGTATCTGGATATTGATCCGGTTTTGGTTATGTGTATAGTAAATATCTTCTTGCAATGTGTGGCTTATATTTCCATTCTCTCTGTGATACCTTTTGATGAACAAAAATCCTTCATTTTAATGTTCTCTATCATCATTTTTATGGATATGATTTTATCAAATTTGTAAAAATCTCAGCTACACAATGGAAAACAAATACTACCTTATGTTTATTCAATAAGTGTTTCCAATAAGAGTTTTGCTCTATATATTTAAGAGTTTCACCCACCAAGAACTGATCCTTGTATATGAATAAAGATAGGGCCCCCATTTCATTTTTTCCCTCAGAATAATTGTTTGTCCCAGGTCTCAATTTAGTGAATCCATTTTGATTTATTGAGTTGAAATACTACCTCTCTTTGATATGCTGTTTCGTGGGTGTGTAAACCTTCGTTTTGTTATTTATCTTCATTTTTTGGTTGTTTTGTCTCTCTGACAATACCACAGTGTTTTAATTACTATTCTTCTCTCATTTCCTTAGCCCCCTTCTTTTCTAGAGGAAGCTGTGTTTCTGTTGTATTTTGTCTTTTCATTGTTGTTAGTGAGAAGTCTTCTATCCATCCTCTCTAGTTGTTGTTTCTTGCTATTCTTTGTCCTTATCCTTCAATTTCCCTATAATATATTTTTAGGTATGGGTTTCTTTGGGTTTATACAGTTGTCCTTTTTGGTATGTGCTGTGCACCACTCATCTCTGCATGCTTGTCTTCTGTCATTTGGGAACATTCTTGATAATCATTTTTTCAAATATGGCCACTTTTTCATTCTTTCTTCTCTTTTCTACAATTATGGATAGATATATTAGAATTTCTCATTCTTTTTTCCATGTTTCTTAAGCTTTTAAGCTTCATATTTTCCGTTCTCTTTGGTCCTCTGGGTACATTCTGATCATTTCATTAGCTCTGTCTTTCATTGGTTCAATAACTCTCTCTTTAGTCTAATCTTTAATATTTCCAATGAGTTTTTTTTAGCACAGCATGTATATATTTTGTTTCAAAGTTTAAGTTGATTCTTTTCAAGTGTATCTTATAATTTCTCATAATCTCTTATTGCTTCATCATTTTTATGATTCCCATCTTTTATTCCTTTAAAGTATTCACAAATTGTAATTCTAAAATCTTTATTTGATTATCTGAAATCTGATAGTTGTTGATTTTAAGACTCTTAGGCCTAGTGATTTATTTCCTTTGCTGCTTGGTGATTTTTTGATTGTGAGTAGCTGACTGATTTTAATCTGAAGAATACCCAGAAGTCTAAGTAGATGAATGTTCACCAGGACAGTTGTTAGCATTTAGTCTTCTATGAGTCAGGGAGTGTTATTTTGGTCCTGGAATCTTGGTTCTTTTGCCACTGGCAAAGGTAATATTGGATTTGCCCTCACAATAGACCCATTTCAGTACCCTGTTTTCTGGTCGCTTTTGAGAGAGCACATGGATATCTTGGAGGTTTACTTCCTGTGAGCCCTAAATTGCAACCAAAATTTTTATGTTAGATCTAGTTCTAAAGTTGGGTGGTGTTTTTCTTTCATGCAGTCCGAAGCAAAAAAGTTCACATTCTGCTTTGCAATTAAGGAGCTGTCTTGTCTACTTAGTGTGTGTAGTACTGTAATACTTTCTTTTCGGGTAACGTTAATCTTCCTAAGTATTTCATTTGACTATATCCTTTTAGTTTAGTAATCATTCTGTCTTTTCATTATACTTCTTGGTCCCCTTTTTAAAATTTGTTTGCTTATTTAATATCTATCCCTTTAATTGGTTAATTAAATCCCAGATTGTTTGTCCTTCCCCCACCCCCCAAATACCCTCTGCAATGGAGACCCTTAAATTTACATCTTTATTCCTGGCTCTATTCTCTATCTCACCAATGCTGGATTTTTGGTCCCTACTTATAAGATATTCTCTTTGAATATTCAGCACAAAGATAAAAACTAAAATGTCTGAAACTTTCTCAAGTTCTTCCCTTCCTTCTTTCTTTCCTTTCTTTACACTTCCCTCCCTGTCTCCATTTGTCACCATCTTTCTCATTGTCCCCTAGCTCTCTGCCCTTTTGTAATTTAATTTTCTTCCACTCCTATATATACTTGATCATAAGCTCTAACCTGTCATCCTGCAGCATTTTTATTTCTATTTTCTTCTCCTTTTCCACTATCAGAAACCTTATACCCTCATTCCTGAATCATCATAACCATTCTATAGCAATTTTCTTCTTCATTCTAATCTATTCCACAGATAACTACTTGTCTTTCCAGTAAGGATTTTAATCGCAGTGAGCTATTATCTAGAATGTATAGTAGCTCATTTTATTACTATTAGGCCAAAAGTCCAAAAACCTCATGTTAAGGCCCACTAGCAGCTGCCTCTTTTAGAAGGTCTGCTTTTCTTCTTACCTGTTTCCTTCTTCACGTGGCTTCCCTGCATGGCCTGCTATAATCAGCTTCTTTTCCTGCACATAGAACTTGCTGATTACCACTCCGTGCTTCCTGCCTTGAATCCCCTCCTGCCTTCCCTCTACCACTTCCTGTCTATTGCCTTCTTGAACAGCTGTCCTGTAACTGTCAGCCAAATAAGGTAACACTTTATTTTACATAATTATCAGAGAGAATTTATTTGCATATTTTGCTTATGAACATTGTAGTTATTTTGTGTAATTTGTGTATGTTTTGTCTGTCCAAGCAAATTATCAGATTTTAGAGGATGCAGATTGCCTCATGATTTTTTAGTGCTCCGTATTTCACATAAGGTTCAGTGTTTAAGCAGTGCTCAGGAATGTCTGTGGCACTTTTAACTAGAAGGGCACGAAGTGGATCTTTTGTAATCTGGGAGGAGTTTGCACTTTACCTGCCTGCACACTCATCATTTGTGGGTAGGTTAGGCCTTCTGGAGAATTGTGTTCACTGTGTATGTGTGCTTGACCAGAGGAACAAATAGGGCTTTAAAATAAATTTCTTCCATATAATTTGGCATCCCTTCTTAGTAGATCCATTTTAATTGGATGTCAGTTGACAAAGTAGAGGATAGAAATTAAAGTTTCAGGTCTTGAATAATATATAATTCAGTAATATATAATTGTTGAACACACATCTTTCAAATGGAAAATATCATTCAATGTTTTGTTGCTATTATTGTTTCTTTTTCTTTATAAATGTGGAATAGGAACTTTACATAGTCTTACAAATTTTAGCTCTCCTGTAATAATTGCAATATTTCTTTTTGTCTGAAGATCTTAGTTCGAAGAAGCAGTAGCCCTGCTGAATTGGACTTGAAGGATGATCTGCAGCAGACACAAGGAAAATGTAGGGAAAGGCAGAAGAGTAAGTTCCAGGAAATGTAGTCTGCATTCGTCTACTGCAGAGTTGATGTGTTTTCTTTTCTTTTTACTTTCTAACTCAAGTGGTATCTTATCAGTTGAAGAGACATGGTTGTGAAATGGAATATTCTTTTTCCCAAAATAATATAATGTTAATCCAGTTAATTAAAAAGCTCTAGTCATTTGCCTATACCTGAGTGCCCTTTCTTTCCAACTCTGTACCTTTCTCAAGATGAGAGTCACAGAGGGACTGAGAGCTTGAGTGAGCAGATGCATCCAGAAGAAAAATTACCTTCCCCAGAAGGCTAGGAACACAAAGGTACAGAAGAACATTGATGTTAGTGGCCTAAGTACTTTAAAATAAAATTTTGATTGGAATATATTATCATATACTTGAAATATATTATCATATACTTAAAAAAAAATAGCCTCCACAACAACTCCTACATACCCAGAGTGGCTCTTGATGGGGTGCAGAGGAGCTCATCTTATGCTCTACCTTCTTTCCATGGGCTTAAAGTTTTGTGGAAGATGCAGTTTGAGACCTTACAACTTGGTCATATGATTACTGAGACAACTTTCAGTTCTTTACAAGTAAACAGCAGATTAGAAGCAATAAGGTTGGGGAACTGTCAGCAGAAGATACAAAGAGCTTCCAGAAGGAAGGGTAGACACATAAAATTCTTAGGAAGTGGTCAGAAGACTTTGAGGAGGAAGACTATTTAGATTTGTTTTGTGTCAGATTAAATAAATAGCCCTGTAAGTCTTCATAGGTCAGTATAACTATGATTTAATTAGTTATTAAATACTAATAACTTTAGTATTTAAAGGAGAGAGTTTCTATAGTAGAAAATCTGTTGCAGTGAGATAATTCATCCCCAAAAGGCTCTAGATGATTCACCCTATTTAGTGTAAACATCAAGTTTGAAGTATGTACATGTTTAGCAAAATAAACTTGCATTTGTGGTGTAATCAGTTATCAACATCTTCCTTCACTCACCTTCATTTTGTTGGTGAATAAGTCTTGGTAGAAAACTTTAGGACATGGCATAATTTGGGGGATGTATAAGAAAACTGAGCAAAGACAATTTGAAAAAAACACCACTTGGATGATATATAGCAGAGTTCATAGTATCTATATGAGTGCTCTGTCCTTGGAAGATTTAATTTGTTGACCTAGAGCTTTCATATGGACACCCATCTGAACCCCAGTCAAGTTCTGCAGGTTCTGCCCAAGCCCCTGAGCAATTCCTGCTGTGTCAGCTGTTGAAGTGTTTAGTTACTTGCATTATTGGCAATTGTGAGTATTCTGATCTTCAGCTAGCTGTTTTCTCAAACTTTGATTCTTCTATTTTGCAAGGTGATAGTACCAGCAGTGACACAGCTCTGGGCTATAACAATGAGGCAGAGCTGTCTATGAGCCCATGGCAGACTTGTGAGGAAGACCCAGAACTGAACACTCCCACAGATGTGGTTGACTCTGATGCCCGCCATTGGTTACAACTGAGTCCAACTGATGCTTCAAACTTAACAGGTAACTAACTGTGTGTTTGAAAAAAGGCACCAGTGCAAACAGCTGGGAGAGTCCAGAGTTTCCTAGTTGCCTCAACCCTAGGGATCCCTGAGCACAGTGGTAATGAGAGTGCCACCTCCAACCAAACTGAAGTGGCATTACCAGCCACCTGTTCACTATCAGTCATGAATTTTTGAAGTCTGGTATGGAAAGGGTTCTGAAACAGTGGCCAGATGTGGGAGGAAGGCTGTCATGTTGATAAGCACTGTCTATCTGCCATGGGAGGAAGTGATGGTGCTCATGCCATTTGCCATTCTTTATTGAATTTGCTCCACTCTGGGAATAGAGGAGTGATTTTTTCAATTTATATATGTCATAAGTCCAGGATAAGTTAAGGGTTTTAGATATCTTATTAACTAATAATTTATTTTTTATCATAAGGTATTTGATGCAGACAGTGTAAGTTGTGACCTACATGTAGGTTACTTTTCATAGTAATAAAATGAGCCCTGGTGACATATTATTGCCCAATGTAAAACCTAAAATAGCATCCACACCATGAGATTCCTAGAAGCCCTTCTTAAGTTCCTTTCCTTCTTGGGGCATCCTAGTTTGTTTTTCTATCAATTCCCTTGATTTCTTTAAAACTTTAACATGTCTTTGTCTTCAAACAATGTATCATTTGGTTTTGTTTCTAAATCTAAAAGTAATACTTTATATTTTTTGCAAGTTTTTTTCTTCAGTCTTTGTTTCTAAGATTAATGCATGCACAATGTAGCAAACTTTCTGGATCTGCATCCAGGCTCTGCCAAGGAATTGCTGAGCAACCTTGAGCTGATTACTTAGTCTCTGTTCTTAAGTTTCTTTGTAAGAATAATGATAGTTCCTACCTGATAAGGCCACTGTAGAAAATGAGTGAACAGGAGAACCTCTCTGCAGTTTTTGCTGTTCCCATCTACATGTGCAGACATGCATGCATATATTGTAAACCTTACAAAGTCTCAGTTCCTTCATCTGTGTGACAGGGATGATGAGAATGAGAACACCATGGAGAAACTGAGTTTTTGTTTTGACAAGTGTGAGGTGAGATGAGTCCTCTGAGGAACTCAGTGTGGGAAATGTTAACTAGAGCTAAGACCTCCCTGATCCACATTCACACTCAGACACAGATACCTTGTATGAAAACTATACCAGCAAACTAGAAAGCACCAGCTAAGTAAAAAGTGTTATTAAAATGCTAAAAATCATTTAAAAAATATAAAGACTAATGATTTACCCTAAATCGATTTTTTTTTAAACCAAGAAAACTTTAGTTTTCTCTGTGATAGAAAATTTTACTGAAGTCTCTGATATTTTTTGAAATTCTTGATGGAGTAATATTGAAACATTCATACAATTAGCTTATAAAAATGTTATTGCATAAAATTCTTAATATAATAGATAATGATTTTGACTACTAGCATTATAAAAATATGGGTTTAATAATGCAATAAGAACTTTAAGGTACTCTTTTTGATCCTGAATGGTAAACAGGCCAAGTCCTATCATTTCTTTTAGAGATGGAGAAACTGAGACACAGAGAAATCATGTTATCCCCCTAGATAATAAGTGCCAAAGTTGACACTGGCTTCCAAAGTGTTATGGCTCTGTATGCTGTTTTTCACTGTGTTGTAGTTAAAATTACAACTGGAAAGCCCTTTAAACTATTTGAGAGTTTTAATACATTCCTAAAATAAATGGCTTGGTCCAGTATACAGATTATCCAAGAAGAACTCATCATTATGGTACTATAGATCCAAGTCTGAATTTTCACTAAGTTGAATGTACTCAAACATGAACCAGGCTTATATATTTTTACTGAAAGGAAAGAAAATTGAATGATTATTTCTTTTGTCTATCCTTGGGAAAGATTAATTGAGATTCCATTTCAGAGTATGTATTGGACAGCTCAATTTAATAAACTTGTGTGAGGTAATTCATATGATACACTCTTATGTTTTGATTAACTCCTTCAAATTCTTAGTTCTTTGAAATACTAATAGAATCAGAATGCTCAGTTCAATAGTTCATCTTGTCATCTGTGAAAAGGACAAACTGTAAGATGATAAGGCTTAAGGATTATCACAGTTCTGAATTTAACTTTCTGTTCTTAAGAGAACAGTTTCTTCATAAACGAACAAAATAAAATTCATGTTAGCCTGATCGTTAGGACATGCAAAAAAAAGCAATCAAACAATATGAATGTATCTGTTTTTCATTGAATAACCCTACCAATTGTCAAATACTTAGAATAATGAACTGCCAGGTATAGTAAGATATGCAGACACATATGATGGTCATGAAGGAAGAAGCTTATACTCAATAGATGTCTAGAAACAGAGGCCACGTCATCAGAAATCTCCAGGGTTGGTCAAGAGGCAAGGGAGCAGAACATGGGTAACCACTTTTATTGTCATTTTTACTGGAAAACAGGGTCAGGCAGGGTCAGAAGATTTAGGATTTCTGCTGTGAATAATTTCAGTGGGCTCTGGAACATAGGGGCTGTCTTTAGTTGCCTGGTACCTGGTTGTAGAGAGATTAGAACTGGAGTATATTGACTTGATATATTAAAGCTAGGTAAAGTAGGTAGTTGGAGTGGATGAGCCCCTATTGGTTCATTTACACATTGGAAGCATTGTCCTTCCCCGTGGAGATATTTGCTATCTGTAGGAATTAGTTAACCCTGAAAAGTATAATTTCTTCTTTATCAGCAAGGCCCCAGCTACTAGAGCATTAAGAGTCCAGAAAATAAGAAAACATAGTTATTACATGCTTAGAGTTAGTTCTGTTAAGGTAATAAATTGGGGGCAGAGAATATTTATGGCTCTTTACCTACAAATCATCCCTTATTTAGCAGATAAACTAATGATGTAGAAATATTAATTTAGATACCACGAGAAATAAAAAAGATGAATAGGTCATTGTCACTATTATCTTAAGAGGTTACAAAGAGGATACATGATGCTTATACTCATAGTCTCAAATAATGTGATAAATGCTATGAGATTTGTTTAAAGTAAGATCTAATTACAAGTAGACAAATAAAATGGAATAGAAGGTGCAGAAATGAATCCACACAGGCATGGAACTATGATATATGATAGAGGTGGCTTTCCAGATCTGGCAAGGGAAGAATGGACTATTCAGCAAATCCCTTGGACAAGTATTTAGCCATATGGGGGAAGAATGAAATAGAATATTTCCCTTACACCATGTTTGAAGTCAGTTCCAGAGGTATAAAATTCCTAAATATGAAAAGAAAACTTTAAAAACTATTAGAAGAAAATATCTTCTTAAAAATGTGTATTTAATCTTGAGGTACTAAGGTTTTCTTAAATGAGAAACAAAAACAAAACAACCAACCAGAAAGGTAACTATAAGAAAATTACCCATATTCAACCTCAGCAAAAATTAAAATGTTTTTAAACAGAGAAATTTTAAGAATTCCATGGTTTAGCAGAACAGCAGCATTTAGTAGATACCTTGAATCAAGGCACACATATGCTCTAAGCTGCAGGTGTTTTAACCTCTTAAAATTAATAAATATGCAAATCACCTTCAAACTATCTTTTATTTAGTGTGTTTATCATGGTTCTGCATCCAAATGTTTCTTGTAATAATGCCTTTACCAATTTTGTTTTTAAATATAGCTGTGAATTACATCCTATTATCTTCCACTAAAATTGTTTTTTGTAGGAACAGTTTGCCAGCATTGTCAGTCATCACATACATTTTTAGTATTTTCAACAGACTTTGATCTGTTTTGATCTCATGAAATATTATAAAGAAAAATAATAATAGTAACTACAGTGGAATTGGGAGCTCACTTAAGGGGAGGAGAGTGAGGCTGCAGTGGTGGACAGCCAAATGCTAACTTGTTGTTTCTCCATTTTGATCATTGAAGTCTGGGCCTGATTTTTCTGGCTCTAGAATTAACATGTTTAATTAGAGCCTTTGGGTTTGGTCTTTAGTATAATTGTCAGATTAAAAGAGAAATTCATTTTCAAAGATACTCTCAAGCCTACATAAAATTAGAACCATATGAAATTGCCACTTAGTCATATGTACCTATTTTGTCAACTACTAAGACTTAATTCATAGCTAAAATCTTTTCCATATTTATAAATTCTTAAATTTTAGATATTTCTGTAAAATCATGTGTTTGTTTAGAGAAAGATGATATAATTTTGTTTGTAAGAGTTCTTACTTTAAATGGAAATGCTTTTTATATTGATTGTATTAGTTATATACATGGCAAATCATATCAAAACTGATCAAATTACATACTGCAAATATGTGCATTTTATTGTACTTCAATTTTACCTCAATAAAGCTATGCAAAAAAAAAATAAACTAGGTTGAATTGATTAGGTTACAGCTCTCAAAATCCAGTCATTTCACTTCTGAACATTCCTGCATTAATACAGGAGTTTTGGGGGGATACCTCTTATCCAAATAACAAACATTATTTGCTGGTGACCCTTTACATATTTTAAATACTACATATCTTCCCACAAATTCCATGCCTTGTACAGTTTCCTCTGTCTGGACCTCCTTTGCTCTTCATGAAGTGTGTGTACATCTTACAAAATTCAACTAATTTTTTCTTTTCCTTTGCAAAGACTTTCTGGTTTTCCCATATGCAGATACTTCTCATCTAGTCTTCCAAAGTTACACCTGGTTAAGTCCCATTGACTCTTATAATTATTTACTCACATGTCTTTTCCTCACCACATTGAGAACTCTTGGGGGCAAAAACTGTGTCATAATTCAAACTGGTAGCCCCCGTGCCCAGTGCATTACTCCGGAGCTATTATGGTAATTGTTATCAGCATCTGGAATGTTCCTCAGACTTTCATGTTGAAAGCATGGTTCTCAGTGTAGTAAGGTTCAGAGGTGGGCCTTTTAGGCAATGATTGGATCATAGGTCTTTGGCCTCATAAGTAACTAGAAGCAAGGAAATAATAGAGAATGAAAATCAA